AAGGTTGGGGTTTAGCTCTGAGCCCGAGGCTGTAACTGCCTCCAGGGGGCCCAATGTCCAGCCTGTGACACACAGCACACGTATGACACACCTCACCACTGTGCACACACCACGCAGACACGCACACCTGCACCTGCACACAGCTCACACCCATGCACAAGCTCATGTGCACACACGAACACAGCGCACACTACACATGCACGCAGATCACACCTGCACACCTGCACATACGTACATATAGCTCACACCCACATACATGCACACACATGCATGCAGATCACACCCGTACAAGCTCACATGTGCACACATGTATATACATGCATGCAGCTCACACTGCACATGCACATACATGCACGCAGATTACACCTGCATAATGCTCACACACGCGTACACGTGCACACAGCTCACACCCATACCGAAGCTCACATAACATGCACACATGAACTCAGCTCACACCACATATGCACGTGCATCTATGCAGATCACACCTGCGCACAGGCACATACGTGCACACAGATTACACACTATGTTTACACACGCACGTATACGCACCTAGTTCACGCCTGCACACACATGCAAACAACTAACTCACCCCTCTAACAAAACGCAGGTACACGTATCACCCACCTGTGCACAAGGCTTCTGCACACACACAGACACACAGGTACACCCGGGGCTCACATTCACACACGCGAGCCCCAGCTCCTGGGACTGCCCCTGGGGTCTCCCTGCTTCGCTGGGGACGGTGGTCTGTCCTGTGCCTGGGCCGCAGGCGCCTCTGACCTGGCATGGGCAGGGCCGTCCCACCCTGCCTTCCTCCTCCCTGGGCACACCCGCCTCTCTGGGCACACTGCGGCTTCGTGCTTAATTCCGGGGCGTCACCCAGAGGGCCACCTGGGGGAGGCGGCCGCAGAATGGGGAATGCCCGGGGCAGGGTGACTGGGCAAGCTGGGGCGGGCCCGGCCTGGGAGCTGGGAAAGCGGGGAGCGGGAAGGCAGGCCATGGGGGCAGGGCTGGGCGGGGCCGCTCGGGCAAGGGGGGGTGCCAGGGACGGGGGACACGGGGCAGCGTGGTCGGAGGTGATGGCACGGCAGGGCCCCGTCACTGTGTGACCCCACCACTGTGACCCCATCACGGCGTGACCCCGTCACTGTGTGACGCCTCCCTCTCTGAGCCGCAGAGCCCTACCTTGTGAACATGCACAAACCCCACTGTCTCCACTGAAACTGACACACAACACACACACACACACATGCATGCACGCACACACGCACACAGACATGGCTGTCCCTCTGGGCTTGGGGGTGCCCCCTGGCAGGAAGGTGCCACAGACTCCTTCCACAGACTGTCCCCATCACACTGTCCCCATCACAGACCCCGTGCCCTCCGTCCAGGGCCAGACACGGGTATCATCAACCTGCCGTGGGCCCCCAGGCCATGCCGTCCACCGTGTCCCTGGGTGGCGTGGCCCTGGCGTCCCGAGCGGCGGCGGGGCCTCCCTCACCTTCCGCAGAGGCTCCCTGCCCCCACGAGGCTGAGAGCTGACCTGGCCGGGAGCCGGGCGCGGGGAGCAGGACGGGGCAGGCAGCGTGGGGCGCCCAGCGAGTGCGTGCGTGTCGGCGGGCGCTCCTGTGCCGGTGGCAGCTGTGCTGGCCTGGCAGTGCCCTTCCTGTCCCCCCTGCAGTGCCCTCCTGTGCCCTGAGACCCTGCGCCCTGGAGCAGTGCAGGGCTGGGCCCCCCAGAGCCTTGACTTCTGTCCAGGTCACCCCAATTTCCCCCACGAGTGCGTCCACTTGAGTTGGGCCTGAGCAGCCCCATTCAGGGGTCCCTAAACCTGAAGCCATGCGCGCCCCAGACACGCCACGGGCACACGGGCAGACACTCCCAGCTCCCCAGCCCCCAGACATGGCACTCACTGCAGGGGCCAGTCTCCTTGGGGGCGAGTCAGGGTCAGCGGGGGGCCGGCAGGGACTGCAGGGCCTCTGAGTCCACTCCTGGCTCCCGTGGGCTCGTGGGATGGGGAGGGGGCCTTCCATGGACCCAGCCGGGCTTGTATGTCACAGCCGTGTCCAGGCACACCCTCCTGAGGGACCAGCCTGCGGGATCCCTACTCCACAAACGGCCTCAGTCCCGAGAGCCAATCAAGACCCAGGACCCAAGGCCGGAAGTGGCCCCTGACCTGGAACTGGGCCAAACCAAAGCAGCGGCCGGGCCTCTTTGTGGGGCAGGGCTGCTCTGGGCCCCCGTCCGGCTGTCTCCACTGCCCTCACTGTCCACTGCTGTCCCGCTGCTTGTCTCTGCTGCACCACTGTCCATTCTGGCCCCACTGTCCACTGCTGTCCCCGCTGTCCACTGCTGTCCCCAATGTCCACTGCTGTCCCCAATGTTCACTGCTGTCCCATGTCCACTACTGTCCCCACTGTCCACTGCTGTCCCCACTGTCCACTGCTGTCCCCAATGTCCACTGCTATACCATGTCCACTGCTGTCCCCATGTCCACTGCTGCACCACTGTCTACTGCTGTCCCCACTGTCCACTGCTGTCCCCACTGTCCACTGCTGTACTATTACTATGTCCACTGCTGTCCCCAATGTCCACTGCTGTCCCCATGTCCACTGTTGCACCACTATCTACTGCTGTCCCACTGTCCACTGCTAACCCCAATGTCCACTGCTGTCCCTAATGTCCACTGCTGCCCCAATGTCCCTGCTGTCCCGAGCACCCCCCTGAAGCCCAAGCCTGGGCAGCAAAGCAGCAGGGCTGGCCGGTGGCTTCCCTGAGGGCGGGGGTCCGTGAGGGGCAGCAAGGGCCCCCGCAGGCCCCAAGCGGGAACACGCCAGGATGCGTGCTGTGTCTGCCTGTGTGGCCACACACGGCGTATGTGAACACATGTGACGTGGCATGTGCACATTTAGGCAGCTAGAGTTGTGGTTGCTGCCTGCATGTGTTTCCGCGTGTGTAGCATGGCATCAGTGCACACCTGTGATCTATGCACACGGATGCATCTGGTAGACATGTGGCTGTGCACGTGTGCCTGGCTTGTAAACGCATGTGTTTGGGGTGACACATGCCTTGGGCTGCACGTGTGCATGTGCATGACATGGTATGTGACATGTCCCCCAGCGTGCAGTGCACACATGTATGACCGCACACGTGGGACTGCACGCACACGTGTATAGTATGATGACATGTGTGGAGCCCAGCTCTGAGCTGGTGGGGACCTGACATGGGTGAGTCCTGAGGAGCCATGAGCCGGGTGGGCTGCTGCTGGGTCACGGGATCGGGGTCTGTCCTCCATGGCCCTGCCCACCGCCAGCCCCGGGAGACTGCCCTGCCCCTCTGACTCCTTCCAGCCCTGGGGCTCCCCCCGAGCTGTCCCCCTGCCCTGTCCTCCCCGCTCCCAGCAAACCGGTCGCGGACTGTCAGTATCCCCGTTCTACAGACAGGTAAACCGAGGCCTCGGCTCTTGCTGGCCGCGCCCTGCCTGCTGCTCTGGACTCTAATCTGTTCTGATGAGGGGACCCACACTGGCCACAGCTGGAAGTCCTCTCTACGTGTGGTCAGCTGCCCTGACCAGCTGGGGCTCTTTGGGCCCCCAGACACCTAGCTCTGTCCCTGAGAACTTCCTGAGCATCCAGGGCACAGATACCGCGTGGACACTGCCCCTTCAAAGTTGCCCAGTTAGGGGTCTTTCCGGCAGGGACTTCAGCCATGACCCCGAGTGGCCGGGGCAGAGGGGCTACCTGCCTCCACTAGGGCACACGCAGAGTCCCTTGGGTGGGAAGGGGGCGCCCGCCTGGGGGTGTGGGGGCAGCAGTTTGCAAGCCTGCCCTGGGGACAGGCCTGGAAGGGCCTAGAAGGAAAGTCCCCTGGGAAGCAGCTGCGTCACTCTCGCCCCGGGCAGCCCAGTCGCAGTGACCAGGGCTGCTGGGCACACAGATTGTGCCGACCTCTCCGCGGTGGCCTCAAAACACTCAGCCAACTGGCGGCCCCCAGGCTGCCTGCCAGAGCCCGGGGGGTGGCACGCAGGCTGGGTGCTGCTGTCACTGGGGTAGGGTGGGGTGCAGAACCCAGCGGACACCACCCAGGGCCCAGTGACTTGGCTCTTCTGTTCCTCCTCCTCCCAGAGGCTGGCCGGGGGCAGCAGACTTTCAGGCAGGGGGCAGTGGGAGGGGGCCCACCTTGCCCCAGTTTCCCACCACGGTTAGGCCCTTGGTGGTCTGTGGTCTGGACCCCCTGGCGGGCGTCAGGCACCTTCTAGAGACCCCAAGTCCCCTGGGGATGCCTCCCGGGAAAGGGCCGGCTGCCTGCCTTTGAGGGACTGGGAGAACCGGTCTGGTCGGCCTGGCTTCCCCGGGAATGTGGCATCCCAGCAGGCAGCAGCTGCCGCTGGGCTGCCTCCTCCGGGTTCTGCCAGGTTCTGACCTGGCAGTGTGAGGTCGCAGGGTCGTGCCCTGGGACAGGCCCTGGGCTCCGGGTCCCCCCCCACTTCCCACCTTTGCCACCTCTCTGCCCGGAGACAGGTGTGGGGGTCTCTCCTGTCTGAGCCGCAAGAGCAGGCACAGGGCTTGCGTCTAACATTCCAGAGCTTTCTTTGTGCGGGCCCTAAGGCGAGTGGGAGGGCCAATGCGCCAGCCGGTCCACCTCCGAGGGGCCACTGGCAGGGGGTCCTGCTCTCTCCCCTCCCCCTAAACCCTCCGTTTGCTCATTTCCCGGCACCTCTGCTCTCACCACACGCCTCTCCCGGGGGCAGACGGGGGATAGCGGGCCGGCGCCAGGGGTCTGGGGCAGGTTTGGAGCTGCCACCGGTGACAGTGACGGGAACCGGGGAGGGTCTGGGGAGGGGGGAGGGGCGGCCCCAGCCCCGCCCAAGGTGCGGGAGGACTCTGGGCTCCTGTGTCACAGCGCAGCCCGGTGGGGTGGGAGGCCCGTCCTGCAGGAGTCGCTGCCCCCCACCCTAACACCACCCTCTCTCCCCACCCAGGGTCGCGGGATCCGCCATGCTGGGCGCCCTGTGGACGGCGCTGCTCTGCCTGCCCCTCGCGGCGGGCACGGAGGCGCCCGGGCCGGCCTGGCGCTTCACCCATGCCCTGTACAACGCCACCATCTACGAGAACTCGGCGCCCAGGACCTACGTGGACAGCCCCGTGCGGATGGGCGTGCAGCTGACCCGGCCAGGCGTGGTCGTGAGGTTCCGCATCCTGCAGGGGGACACGGGCGGCGTGTTCCGCGCTGAGGAGCATGTGGTGGGCGACTTCTGCTTCCTGAGGCTGCGCACTCGGGCGGGCAGCGGTGCCTCTGCCCTCAACCGGGAGGTCCGGGACACGTACTCACTGCTGGTGCAGGCGGCCGAGGCCGGGGGCACGCGGGTGCAGCGGGCGCGCGTGGCCGTGCATGTGCTTGACCGCAACGACCTCAAGCCCCTCTTCTCCCCGCCCTCCTACCGCGTGGCCATCTCCGAGGACACAGCCCCCCGCACGCCCATCTGCCAGGTGACCGCCACGGATGCCGACCTGGGGCCCAACGCCGAGTTCTACTATGTCCTGCCCGGCCGGCCCGAGGCGTTGGCCGTGCACCCCACCACCGGCATGGTCACCCTGGCGGGGCGGCTGGGCGCCACAGCCCAGGCCGATCACGAGTTCCATGTGCTGGCCGTGGACCGTGCTCGGCCCGGCTTGGGCACCCCGGCCCGGCTGACGGTGCACGTGGACCCCGCCCCCCGGCTGACGCCCACCATCGCCTCCGTGCTCGTGGCCCCCGCCGACGGCGCAGAGGACGGGGCCCTCGCCTCCGTGCTGCTGGACACCAGCGCCCCAGGTGCCGACGCCCTGGAGGTTGTGGCCGGTGACCCTGACGGCTACTTTAAGGCCGTCGTGGTGCCCGGCCGCAGCCACGAGTTCCGCCTGCTGCTGGCCAGAGAGCTGAACTGGCTGCAGCACCGAGAAGGCTTCAACCTCAGCCTCCGGGCCCGGGCGCGAGGCCCGCCGGCCGTGCAGTCCCCCACACTGGCCTTCCACCTGCCCGCGGCCGGGCTGGCGGCCCTGCGGTTCGAGCAGGAGCTGTACCGGGTGCAGCTGAGTGAGCTCTCGCCGCCAGGCCGCCGGGTGCTGGCCCTGAGGGTGCCCGGCGCCCCCCCCAGCCTGCGCTTCACCCTGCAGCCGTCCCCCGGGAGCTCGTTCTTCCGGCTGCACCCGCATACTGGGCTGCTCAGCACGGCGGCCACCCTGGACTGGCGCGAGCACCCGCACTTCCGGCTGCAGGTGCAGACGGTCCCGCCGCTGGCCTCGGCCACGGTGCTCGTCGACGTGCTTGACGCCAACAACCACGCGCCCGTCTTCAACAGCTCCTCCTACGAGGCCGTCTTTGACGAGAACCTGCCGGTGGGCACACGTGTGCTGACCGTGGTGGCCACTGACAGGGACCAGGGCGACAGCGGCCGCGTGTCCTACTCCATCGTGGGCCGCCGCGCGGTGCCCTTTGAGATCGAGCCCTTCCTGGGCGTCATCACCACGTCCCGGCCCCTGGACTACGAGCTCACGCAGAGGCTCTACGCCTTCCGCGTCCGCGCGTCCGACTGGGGGTCCCCCTTCCGCCGGGAGACCGACGTGTCTGTGTCCCTCCGGCTGCAGAACGCCAACGACAACCGGCCGGTGTTCCAGACGGTGGGCTGTGTGGGGGCTCTGCGCCGCGACTGGCCGGTCAGCGGGGCTGTGGCCACCGTGTTGGCCATCGACATTGACGAGCTGCAGCCTCTCCGCTACGAGTTCGTGTCGGGCAACGAGCTGCACTACTTCGACCTGCACCCGCTGTCGGGGCTGGTCTCCCTGCGCCGTGCCCTGCCGCCGGGCCCTGCCCGCTTCCTGCTGGAGATCACGGCCTTCGACGGCAAGTTCTATGCTGCGCCCATGACACTGAACCTCACCGTGGTGCCGGACGCCCACCTCGAGGTGCCCGTGTCCTGCGTGAACACCGGGGTGCTGGCCCAGTTCGCCAAGGCCATCCTGGGAGCGGCGGAGGGACAGGAGCCGCCCCCGGCAGTCGGCGTGGACGACGACGACGACTTCGGTGCCCCCCGCCCCAACCTGCACGCGCCCCTCTTCAAGGAGCCCTTCCCCCAGAGCATCGAGGTGCCAGAGCAGGCACCTCCGGGCACCCCACTGGCCCACCTGGCAGCCATGGACCCTGATGCCGGCTTTGCTGGTCAGCTGGTCTACATGATCGCCGGTGGCGATGACGGCGGCCACTTTGACGTGGATCTGGAGAGTGGGCAGCTCACAGTGGCCGCCCCCCTGGATTACGAGGCCACGCGGGGCTACAGCCTGAACGTGACTGTCCACGACCTGGGCAGCCCCCCGCGGTCCTCCTGGAAGCTGCTGGACGTGATCGTGAGGGACTGCAATGACCACGCGCCCCGATTCCCGCCCGGCGGGTACCAGCTGAGCGTCATGGAGAACACGGCCGTGGGCTCGACGGTGGCTGAGCTGCGGGCAGACGACGCCGACACGGAGGACAACGGTAGTGTCCGCTACATGCTCCTGAGCCCCACGGAGCACTTCTCCGTCCACCCGCTCACGGGGCAGCTGGTGGTCACAGGCGCCCTGGACCGGGAGTCCCAGCCGCAACACGCCCTCAAGGTGGAGGCCCGAGACCAGCCCCGCCAAGGCCTCGCCTTGTTCTCCGTGGCGGACGTGCTGGTCACCCTGGAGGACGCCAATGACCACGCGCCCCAGTGCGTGCCCGAGCTCCTCAGCCTGAGGGTCCCGGAAGACCTGCCCTCCGGCACGGTGCTGGCGCTGCTGGACGCGCCGGACCCCGACCTGGGCCCCGCGGGGGAGGTGCGGTTCACGCTGAAGGACGACGCCCACGGCACCTTCCGGCTGCACCCCGACACCGGCGCCCTCAGCCTGGAGGCCGAGCTGGACTTCGAGCGGCGAGCCAGCTACAACCTGAGCGTATGGGCCAGCGACGGCGGGCAGCCCCAGGCCCAGAGCACCCTGTGCCACGTGGAGGTGACCGTGCTGGACGTGGACGAGAACTTCCACCCGCCACGCTTCGCCTCCTTTGTGCGCCAGGGCCAGGTGCAGGAGAACAGCCCCGCGGGGACGGAGGTGCTCGCCGTGGCGGCCCTCGACGAGGACACGGGCCTGGACGGGGAGCTGCGGTACTCCCTGCGGGCGGGCACCAGCCTGGCCGCCTTCGCCATTGACCCCCACACAGGTATGGCCAGAGGTGCGGGGAGGCAGGGTCCCACACGGGTCTACAATTGCTCATCCCACGGGGGTGCACGCCCATGAACGTGTGTGTGTGTGTGTGCGCGCGCGCGCGTGTGTGTGATGCAGACGTGTGTCACGTGTGTCACCTGTGTGCGTGCATGCATCTGTGCTGCGATTTGCACACATCACACGTGTGCAGGCAGGTGCATGTGTCACACGGGTGCAACAGTGCGTCCTGCCAGGGCAGCTACATGTTCGTGTGCAAGCACATGTGTGCGTCAGTGGCACCGCAGACAGAAGCTCACGTCATGTCTGTCACCTACCGCTGGGGACCCGCAGGAAGTGGGCTCTGCCCGCAGTCCCAGGCTGTGGGGAGCTTTGGGCTTCACCGTGGAGGGGCACAAGCTGCATCCCGTGGCCTCAGGAATCCCCTCACGCTGCCTGTGTGCCCCCGTGGCTCTGCAGGCCGGCACCTGCAAGAGTCATGTGTGAGCAGGCACATATGTCATGCATGTGCTGTCTGCAGGCATGTTGCATTCCAGGTGTGTGCAGGTCTGATGCAGTCTAGGTGTGTGCAGGTGTGACCATGCATGGGTGTGCAGGTCTGATGCACGTGCAAGCTGTGACACACATGTGTAGGGGTGAAGGTGTGTCGTGCATGCACAGGTTGTGTGGGTGTGCAGATATGTCATGTATGTTCAGTCACGTGCAGGCATGTGCCATGCATGTATAGGTTGTGTGGCACAGCACGCCTGTGCAGGTGTGTGTGCACACCCTTGATTGCAGCCCCGTCCCCAGGTGTGATTCGAACCCTGGAGCGCCTGGACCGGGAGCGGGTGGCCCACTACTGGCTGACCGTGCAGGCGGCGGACAGGGGCTCGAGGCCACGGTCTGCGGTGACCGAGGTGTACATCGAGGTGACAGACGTGAATGACAACGCGCCCCACGTGTCCAGGCCCGTGTTCTACCCGGTGGTGCGGGAGGACGTGCCCCCCCACAGCCCCGTCATGCAGCTGGACGCCCAGGACGCCGACGCCGGCCTAGCGGGAACGCTGAGGTTCAACCTCACGGGCGGGAACGCCCTGGGCCTCTTCGCTCTGGACCCTGACACAGGTGGGCCCTGGCGTCCGCACCCCAGCTCCACCAGACTGGGGGACACAGGGGCACCTACAGTGGGGGGGGGTCCGTGTCTGCGGTCGGGCATGCTGGGCCCAGGGAGCCTCTCACCTGCCTCCACCCTCTCTACAGGGCTCCTGTCCACAGCACGACAGCTGGACCGTGAGGTGAAGGAGGAGCACATCCTGGAGGTCAGTGGGGACCAAGCCCTCAGGGAGGCAGTGCCAAGTGCCGAGGCCAGGTCAGCTCAGTCATGGGCTGCACTGGAGGGGGCTACAGGCTGAGCAAGAGAAAGAAGACAAACCCCCCATGCACCCCAACTCCAGCGTTCCTTGGGTGGGCACCACCACTATCACCTTAGTTAGCTCTGGACACAGGGGTCAGCTAAGGACATGGGGTCAGCCCAGGACATACAGGGTCAGCTCAGGACACAGGGGGTCAGCTCAGGACATGGGGTCAGCCCAGGACATACAGGGTCAGCTCAGGATATAGGGGTCAGCTCAGGACACAGGGGGTCAGCTCAGGACACAGGGGTCAGCTCAGGACATAAGGGTCAGCTCAGGACATAAGGGTCAGCTCAGGACATGGGGTCAGATCAGGACACACAGGGTCAGCTCAGGATACGGGGTCAGCTCAGGGCAGCTGTGACCACAATGCCCAGCCAGGAATACAGGTATCCCCTAACCTCCTGGGGCCTGGGCAGGAGGCCCAGTGTGTGGCCCAGTGTCTCCGTGTGTGGGAGAGGAGGCCAGGCCCCCTGTGCCCACTCGGATGTGGCCCCCACAGCTGCAGGGGACAGCGACAAACAGACAGGGGCACCGAGACGGGCAGTGTCCAGCAGTGTCCGAGCGAGCTGCTGGGCCCAGGCGGGTAGGGGCGGGCAGGGGCAGGGCTGACAGCTGTGCTGCCCACAGGTGGCCGTGCAGGACCAGGGGGAGCCCCCGCAGAGGTGCACCTGCAGGGTGGTGGTGCAGGTGGAGGACGCCAACGACAGCCCCCCCGCCTTCCCCCACAAGCTCTTCACCGTGCGCCTGCCGGAGAGCCTGGGGGCGCCCGGGCCACTGTACCGGCTAGTGGCCGCCGACCCAGATGCGGGGCCCAATGGCCACGTCACCTACAGCATCCAGGACAGTGATGCCGACGGCTTCGTGGTGGAGCCCACCACGGGCGTGGTGTGGGCCAACCGCAGTTTCCGGGCGGGAGACTACAACATCCTGACGGTGAGGGTCTGCGGGACTGGGGCAGCGGGGCCTGGGACAGCCTCCTCTCAGAGCTCTGTCCTTGCCTTGCCGCAGGAGAGGGAGTGTCCGGTGGACGGCACCCCCGGCACGCCAGAGGGCCCACCTCGGCCCTCCTTCCTGGTATGGCCACAGCAGGGCAGGGCTGAGTGGGGCTGCCCCGTCAGCGTGATCCACAGGCCTGGCGCCGCCTCTAGGAGGTGGATACGGCACAGGGGCAGAGCTGCCCTGGCCTGGCAGCGACGCCCACCGGAAACCCCTCCCCATGGCTCTTTCCAGGTCAAGGCCACGGATGGCGGGCAGCCTGCACTCTCAGCCAGCGTCCGGCTGCATGTGGAGTGGATCCCGCAGCCACCGGCCTCCACCACCCCACTGGCCTTCGAGGAGCCCCACTACAGCTTCACCGTCATGGAGACGGACCCCGTGAACCACATGGTGGGGGTGGTCACTGTCCAGGACCGTCCCGGACTCCTGTGGTTCAGCATCTCGGGTGAGGACCCCGGGCAGCTCGGGACACCTCAGCCTCATGTCCAGTCTCAGGCAACTCGGGGTGTCCCCTACCACACTGGGAGGGCTCAGAAGCTCAGGACCCCAGCACTGCCTGCTGGCCATCACAGCTGGACAGTATCTACATTCCCAGGACCTCAGAGGGGGAGGTGGACACTTGGGGCCCCTTGGTGACCTGACCCCAGGCTGCCCCCTGCAGGTCAGGAGCAGGCACTGCTCAGGGGAGACGTGCGCTTGTGGCTGGGCTCACGGCCAGTTCTGTGGCTGTCGTGACCTGTCCCTCAGGTCCTTGTGTCTCTAACCTGAGCTTTTGTCCGGGGTAGACTGCATATGTGGGGGTGTGAGGGCACAGTTACACTCAGGCGGCACACACTGCACACGTGCACACACACGTGAACACGTGTCGATTCCGTGAGAACCTGACACATGTGCTCCCCCCTGGGGCCGCTGACCCTGCACGCTGCTGGGGGCTGCCGAGGCCATGTTCGGAGTGGCCAGTGGGCCGTGGGTCTCAGGGAACGAGGTGTTTAGAAAGTGCTCCCCTGGCTGAGAAGGAATCCCCACTGCCGCGTCAGGGAGCCGGTTGCTACCATGGATGTGGGGCCCTGGGGTCTCCCAGTCTTCACCCGCCGTGTCCCTGTGCCCCTGGGCACATAACTAAGGGCAGCCCTTGGTGTCCCAGGACACTCTGTCCCATCTCTGACCGCCTCAGCATCCCCCTGGGTTGGGGTCCCACGGGGACAGCCGCCCGAACAGTGAGTTGTGTATCCCCCCAGGTGGGGACGAGAACATGGACTTTGACGTGGACAAGGTCACAGGCAGCCTGCTCATTGCCAAGCCCCTGGACACCAGGAGACGAAGCAACTACAACCTGACCGTGGCGGTGACCGATGGTGCCCAGAGCATCACCACGCAGGTGAGCTGGCCCGGCCCCAACTCCAGGGCTGGCCGCCAGGGTGCACCCCCCAGAAGGGGCGGCCGCCACAAAGCCAGAACTGGGGCCCGTGGGGCTAAGGAAGGTGGGCGTACAGCAGCACCTGTGGGCAGCTCGCTCTCCCTGTCTGTGGCCACGACCCTTCCAGCCTCATGCGGCTGAAGTGCCTGATCGCCTCGTGCCACTCGGCGTCTCTGCTGCTCCGTGAATGGGGGCCGAGAGTGTAGGATAACACAGGGCACCAGTCAAGGGCCTGTCCCCAACCACCCTGTCCCCCAGGTCCACGTCTCCCTCATCGCCAACGTGAACCGCCACCGGCCGCAGTTCCTGGAGGCCCAGTACGAGGTGCGGGTGCCCGCGAACACCCCGCCGGGCGTGCAGCTGCTCCACGTGCAGGCCACGGACCCCGACCCGGGCAAGGGCCTCATCTACACCATCCACGGCAGCCAGGATCCAGGCAGCAGCGGTCTCTTCCAGCTGGAGCCCAGCACCGGCGCGCTGGTCACCGTGGCAGACCTGGGCCCAGGGCCGTCCCAGCACACGCTGACGGTGATGGTGAGTGATGGATGGACCCCCGGCCACGTCCTGCAACACGGCTTTTACCCCTGGCTCTGGCTGACCCTTGGTACTGCTCCACTGTGCCTACGCTCAGGCCATCTGGGCAGTGTCCAGGGGTCTGGGCCTGTCCCTGAGACATGCAGGCGGCCAGGCTGGACAGCTCCGTGTGAGGGTGTGAGGCGGTGGTGATACTTGGGACACCAGGTTCACCCTGAAGTGTCAAGGCCCCGCGGGCTCCCCCGCAATGCTGGGCCCAGCGAGTGTCTCCGGAACCCGCCCTGTGCCCGGCAGCCAGCGGCCTCCTGCCCCTTCTCCCTCCTCGGCTGTAGTCTAAGCTGCCCCCCATTGCCCCTTGTCCCCAGGTGCGAGACCAGGAGATGCCCATCAAGAGGAACTTTGTGTGGGTGCTGGTGTGCGTGGAGGCTGGGAACCTGCACCCGCCCCGCTTCACCCAGCCGCAGTATGAGGCCAGTGTGGTCGACACAGCCGCCCCTGGCACCGAGGTGCTGCAGCTGCGTGCCCTGGATGGTGACTGGGGCCCTCAGGCCGACGTCCACTACTCCCTCCTCAAAGGTGAGGCCTGCAGGAAGCCCAGCCCACGGGGGCCAGGGCACAGAGTGGGGGGAGGGGGTTCCGCGGGGACGCACACACTCGGGGCTATGGCAGACACAGACCCTGTCTAGGGTGACACTCAGGCTCTGCCTCTTATCTGGGGATGGTTTATCCTGTCTCAGGAGTGAGACCAGGGCCAGAGAAGGAGAGCAAAGGGGTGGCAGGCGCTGGCCCTGACACCCTGTCAGGTCCCCTGACCGGTCAGGAGAGCACAGAGCCAGGAGTCAGCCCTGAGCAACGTCAGGAGTGACCCACCACTAAATCAGAAAACAGAAAGTGTAAAAATAAAACAAACCGATACATAAGCCTTATGAGAACGACTTTGCAGAAACTACCAGAGAAAACGGGGCCAGGAGTGCCCGTGTCGGAGTAAATGTGTGTCCAGCACTGGGTGCCCCACAAACACAGCAGAACAGAAAACTGGTTAAGAGTCCTGCAGCAATAAAAGGCTCGGGTTTGCAATTGCCTAAAAAGCGCAGTTAGTGACCAACACTGCAGAATCTGGGACTGTCGCTTCAGGGCAGGAGCATGTGCTACTCAGGGACAGCCACTGTCACAGTTACTGTCCCCCCCCCACTCAGGAACAGTCACTGCCCCCCTCAGCTACACAGTAACAGCCAGTGTAACATCCACTGTCCCCCACAGCTACTCAATAACAGCCACTGTCCCCCTGCTACTCAGTAACAGACACTGTGTTCCCCAGGCTACACAGTAACAGACACCTTCCTCCCCCTACAATCAGTAACAGCCACTAACAGCCACTATCCCCCACAGCTACACAGTAACAACCACTGTAACAAACACTGTTCCCCAGGGCTACATAGTAACAGACACCTTCCCCCGCTACTCAGTAACAGCCACTGTCCCCGCCTCCTCAGGAATAGCCACTGTCCCTTCCAAATGTGCTGATAGAACCCTCCAGAACCCTCCTCCCTGCCACATTCAAGGCTCCAGAGCTCCGGCCTAACCTGCAGCCTCTGGCCTGTGACACATCAGGGCCGAACCTTCCGACACACACTCGGGGTCCCCCGGACACTCAGACAGTCGAGAACCCCTGCAGCCGCGGCCGCCATGCTCAGCCCCTGGCGGTCTGGGTGTGACCGTGGCACGTCTCTCTCTCTGCAGGGAACAGCGCGGGGCTCTTTGCCCTGGACGCCCTCCTTGGCACGCTCACCCTGGCCCAGACGCTGCCCGTGGCCGGCCCAGCCCAGCACACCCTGACCGTGCGGGCAGAGGACCGAGGCTCGCCCCCGCGGCACGACCTGGCCACGGTGCTCGTCCACGTGCACCCCTCGCCCAGCAGTGCCCCCCGCTTCTCCCAGGCCGAGTACTTCGTCGAGGTGCCCGAGTCGGTGCCCGTGGGCTCCCCGATCCTCCGTGTGGTGGCCAGCGCCCCCTCACAGGTCTCCTACGAGCTGGTGGATGGGGGTCGGGATGCCGCCTTCACCCTGAACCCCTACTCGGGGCTGCTCTGCACCCATCGGCGCCTGGACCACGAGGCACAGGCGTCCCACCGACTGCGGGTCCGTGGGCACAGCATGGCCGGCACCTTCGTCGACATCCCGGTGCTCGTGTCCGTCCTTGACGCCAACGACCACGCGCCCGAGTTCTCCCAGCTCGCGTTCGAGGGCCACGTCAGCGAGGCAGCCCTGCCCGGCAGCCTGGTCACGGATGAGAGTCACAACCCGCTGGTGCTGCGGGCGGCCGATGGGGACGGGGCCGGGGACGCGCTGCTCACCTTCATGGTCCTGGAGCCTGAGGTGCTGCGCTTCTTCCAGCTGGACCCCGGCATGGGCACTCTGAGCACTGCCGCGGGGCTCGACCATGAGCACGCCGCTTTCTTCCGGTTCCGGGTGTACGTCCACGACCATGGGATGCCCGTCCTGTATGCGCCTCAGCCCGCCTGGGTCACGGTGAGGGTCGGCGACGTCAACGACTGTCCCCCGCACTTCTCCCAGCAGACCTACGAGGTGGACGTTGTGGGGCCCGTCCACCCGGGCATGGGGCTCCTGACTGTGCACGCAGACGACCCAGACTCCACGGTCACCTACGGCCTGGAGGCCGGCAACGCGGACGGGGCGCTAACCCTGCACCCCGGCACTGGGCAGCTCTGGGTGGCGAGCCCCTCGAGGCTGGGGGCTGGGCGGGAGCTGACAGTTGGGGCCTCTGACGGGCTTTACCGGGCCACGGCCCTGCTGAGGCTGCGGGTGCTGCCCGCCACGCACACAGACCTGCGGTTCGAGCAGGACACCTACGAGGCGGCCGTGCCGGAGAATGAGCCGGGCGTGCGGGCGCTGCTGCTTCTGCGCGTGGTGGGCGCCCGTCCCAACGACAGCCTGGCCTTTGCCCTCCTCAATGGCACCAACCACTTCCACATGGCGCGCTCGGCCGGCGTGCTGCGGACCCGTGGGGAGGCCTTCGATCGCGAGCAGCAGGACGCCCACATGGTGGCCGTGGAGGTGCGGGACGGCCGCGTGCCCCCACGCGTGGCCCAGGCGCTGGTCCGCGTCTCCGTGGAGGACGCCAACGACCACCGGCCCGAGTTCCAGCACCTGCCCTACGAGGCTGTGGTCCCCGAGGGTGCCGAGCCTGGGGATGTCCTCCTGCAGGTCTCAGCCACCGACCGTGACGAGGGCGCCCACGCTGCCATCACCTATGCCTTTGCCGAGGACTACGCCTACTTCCGCATTGACCCCTTCCTGGGTGACATCTCGCTCCGGAAGCCCCTGGACTACCGGGCCCTCAATAGCTACCGCCTGGGCGTCGTCGCAAGTGACGGCGGGAGTCCCCCGCTGCGGGCATCGGCTGAGGTGCGGGTGCTGGTGCGGAACCAGACCCACCCACTGTTCCAGAGCCCCCGCTACAGCGTCAGGGTGCCCGAGGACGTCCCGCGTGACACCCCCGTGCTGCACACGCAGGCGCGCAGCCCCGAGGGCCACCCGCTGGTCTACCACATCCCCGAGGCACAGGCCCCGGCCCTGGTGGCCGTCAACTTCAGGACAGGCATGGTCAGCGTCACGGGGCCCCTGGACCACGAGGCCGAGACGAGACACGTGTTCAGGGTCAGGGCCACGGACACGGCCCTGGGCGCCTTCTCCGAGGCCACCGTGGAGCTGCTGGTGGAGGACGTGAACGACAACGCGCCCGCCTTCTCCCGCCCGCTCTACACCGCGGCCGTGGCCGAGGGCCTGCCCGCGCACACGCCGGTCATCCAGCTGCTGGCCACCGACCCAGATGCGGGCCGGAACCGCGACATCTCCTACCACATCGTGGACGGTGACTCAGACGCGTCCAGCTTCTTCGAGGTGGACGCAGCCACCGGGCAGCTGTCCACCGCGCGGGAGCTGGACTATGAGAGCCGCCCGCAGTTCCAGGTGCGGGTGCGGGCCACAGACGGCGGCGATCCCCCACTCAGCGGCGAGACCCTGGTAGTCGTGCAGGTGACCGACGTGAACGACAACCCACCGGCCTTCGAGCAGCCGCAGTACGAGGCCCGCGTGAGCTCGCTGGCCGCCTGCGGGCACCCGGTGCTGCGCGTGCAGGCTCTGGACGCGGACCCTGCTGACGCCGCCCGCCTGCACTACCTCATCCTCTCAGGCGACCCCGAGCGGCACTTTGCCATCAACCGTTCCTCGGGGGTCATCTCCATGCCCAACCTGTGCAAGAGGCTGCTGGATGCGTCCTACAGCCTGCGGGTGGGCGCCTCAGACGGCGCCTTCCGGGCCACTGTGCCTGTCTACATCAACACCACGGCCACCAATGCGCACAGCCCCGCCTTCCCGCGGCCACTGTACGAGGCTGAGCTGGCCGAGAACGCGGCGGCGGGCACCGAGGTGGCCGTGCTGCAAGCCGTGGACGGGGACAGTGGCCCCTTCGGGGAGGTGGAATACCTCATCATCAACCGCCTGGCAGCCGAGAAGTTCGCCATTGGGCCGGGAGGCCACGTCTACACACTGCGAGAGCTGGACCGCGAGAACGCCACGGAGCGTGTGGTGGCCCTGCGCGTGATGGCCAGGGACGGTGGTGGCCGGGCCGGCTTCTGCACCCTGAGGGTCATCCTGACGGATGAGAATGACAACGCACCCCGCTTCTCTGCCCCCGAGTACACCGTGTCCGTCCCGGCCAACGCCAGCCGCCGCGCCCCCGTCCTGCGCGTGCTGGCCTACGACGCCGACGAGGGCCGCCATGCGGACGTCACCTACTCGGTGGCCGGCGAGGAGGCCGCCGTGGTGGATGTGGAGCCCATCAGCGGGCTGGTGCGCGTGAAGGAGAGCCTGGCGGGGCTGGAGAACCACACCGTGGGGCTGACGCTGCGGGCGCAGGACGGGGCCCCCCCGCACCGGCATGCCGAGGCCCGCCTGCACCTGCAGGTGGTGCCCAGCCAGGCGGCCCTGCCCAGGTTCTCCGAGCCCCTATACACCTTCTCAGCCGCCGAGGACCTCGCCGAGGGCACGGCCGTGGGGTCCGTCCGCGCGGAGGCGGGCCACGAGCCCGTCATCTACAGCCTGGTGCAGGGTGCCACGCCCGAGAGCAACCGCGATGGAGCCTTCACCCTGGAGCCCCACAGCGGGCTGCTCAGGGTGGGCCGGGCGCTGGACTACGAGGACACCCGGTGGTACCAGCTGGACCTGCTGGCACACTGCCCGCACGGTGACACACGCCTGCTGGCCCTGGCCTCCGTCCACGTCCAGGTGGTGGACGTCAACGACAACCGCCCCATCTTCGAGGCTGACCCCTACCGGGCGGTGCTGACCGAGAACATGCCGGCGGGCACGGCCGTCATCCAGGTGACCGCCGGCGACCGGGACAGCGGGCGTGGCGGCCAGGTGAGCTACCGGCTGCGGGCAGACCCTGTGGGCCGCCTGCACGAGCTCTTCGCGGTGGACAGCGAGACGGGCTGGGTGCGCACGCTGCGGCCACTGGACTGCGAGTCGGCAGAGCACCACCACTTCCACGTGGAGGCCCATGACCACGGCCAGGCCCAGCTGTCCTCCCGCGTGCTGGTGGAGGTGACTGTGACTGACGAGAACGACAACCCGCCCCGCTTCGCGGCCAGCAGCTACCGGGGTGCCGTAGTGGAGAACGGGGAGCCCGAGGAGCCGGTGGTGGCCCTGCGGGTCTCGGACGCCGATGTGTCTGCCCCCCATAGGCAGGTCACCTGCTACATAACCGGTGAGCACGACCCCCGATCCCTCGGGCGCGAGAAGCCCATGCAGTGCCAGGGTGGGGGGTCAGCCTGGGAAACTGCGGCCCTGGGTGGGGGCAAAGGTATCCTGGCACACTCAGCCCCTGACCCCTGGGGAAGCTGGGGACTTGCCAGGATCCCCCCCCAGCAGAGTTCCCCATGCCCACCCTGGCAGGCCCCAAGGCATCTGGGCGTGGCACACAGCCATAGCACTGGCCATTGCCCCTGTCCACAACGCTGGTCATAGCACCCAGCCACAGCCCTGGCCATGGCACACAGCCACGGCACTGGTGATAGTACCCACCATGACAATGGCTATAGTACCCACCACGGAACTGGTCATAGAACCCAGAAACATCAGTGGCCATGGCCCCTGACCACGGCAGTGGCCACAGCCCCTGGCCGCCTTGCAGGGACTCTTGGTCTGCCGTGTGGACATGGGTCCTGGGGAGGGAGGCGTGGATGCCCTGCCCAGGCGGGAGGTGGCCTGTGGCCCGGAGCCGGCCCCTCACACTCCCAGCCCCTTCTCTTTAGAAGGAGACCCCCTGGGCCTCTTCGGCATTCGCCAAGTGGGGGACGAGTGGACGGTCTTCTCGAGGCGCAGCCTGGACCGCGAGCACATGGCCAAGCACCTGCTGCGGGTCACAGCCTCGGACGGCAAGTTCCAGGCGTCGGTACCCGTGGAGGTGCTGGTTCTGGACGTGAATGACAACAGCCCCGTCTGCGCTCAGGTGAGCCGCGGTTCTCGTGCCGTCAGGGCAGGTGCAGACGAGGCTGCTGCTCAGAGCTTCTCTCCCGTGGCCAGACACAGGACTGTGCGAGTCTGCGCGCGCGCGCGCGCGCGCGCGCGTGTGTGTGTGTGTATGAGCCTGCATGTGTGTGTGAGCCTGTGTGTGTGTGTGAGCCTGTGTGCACGCACGTACATGTCAGCACCATGCACAGGTTAGAGCGCATGTGCACATGGTCACCCGTGTATGCAAAGACAGGTGTTTATACATGTGTGTGAACACGTATGTTTATGCACTGTGTACTGTGTATACACGAACATGTGCATCTACACGTGTGCATGTATGCACCACGAGCAGCTACAGAAGGGATCCGGTGGCACTGCAGGCCCCAGGGACCTGTGGCTGGCCAGAGGGCAGCTTTACAGGCCTATGATCACACCAGGCGCCCCCTGCCCTCAGCTCCCGCCCCGCCTAGTGTATCCCTCCTGCCCCCGTGACCCTTGCGGTGTCCCTCCCACCCCGCAGCTTCTCTATAGCGGCCACGTCCAGGAAGATGCAGCCCCGGGACACTCAGTCCTGCAGGTGTCTGCCAGCGACGCAGACGCGGACGCCAATGCGCAGGTGTCCTTCTCCCTGCACGGCCCGGGCGCCCACGATTTCCACATGGACCCCCACACAGGTGCGTGGTTGCGGTGGGACGGGAGGGGAGGAGGAGAGGGCGGGAGGGAGGGGCCCAGGAGGGATGGGAGGGGCCCAGGAGCGAGGGGCTCCTGGAGGGGCAGGAGGAAAGGCCGGGTGGGGTGGGGGGTGGGGCGGAAGGAAGAGCGGGCGCAGGGGGGTCTTGGGGCCAGTAGAGGGCCTCAGGACACTGGACACAGCCCGCACTGGCCTCTCAGGGCAGCTGAGCACCCTGGCCGCCCTGGACCGGGAGCAGAAGGCCGAGTACAGCCTGGTGGTCAAGGCTACCGACGGGGGCGGACGCTGGTGCGAGGCGGCCGTGACCTTGCGCGTGGACGACGTGAATGACAACGCCCCCCGCTTCTCCCCGCCGCACTGCGCCGTGGTCGTCTCGGACAACACGACCCTCCACGCCCCGGTGGCTGTGCTGCTGGCCCTCGACGCTGACCAAGGTGTGGGAAGAGGGTGTGGCCTGGGCCCTGGGGTGGTGGTCTGAGGGGTAGGGAATGTGGCCTGGACCTTGGGGGTGTGGCCTATGCTCAGGGGTCCACGGCCTGAGTTCCCGGGGGCGTGGCCTGAGTCCTGGGGGTGTGGCATGAGTTCCCAGGGGCGTGGCCTGATGCTGGAATGTGACCTATGGGGTGGCCAGATCCCAGGGGTGTGGCCTGGGCCCTGGGGTGTGATGAGAGGGCTAGGGGTGTGGCCTATGTTCAGGGGTGTGGCCTGAGTTCCCAGGGGCGTGGCCTGATGCTGGGGTGTGACCTATGCGAGTCGTCTGATCCTGGGGGACTATGTGGCCTATGGGGGTGGCCTGAGTCTGGGGGTGTGGCCTGATGTCCTGAGTTCCCCGAGGGCGTGGTCTATACCCAGGGGTGTGGCCTGAGTTCCCGGAGGCGTGGCCTGATACTGGGATGTGGCCTATGGGGATGGCCTGATCCCGGAGGTGTGGCCTGTGCCCAGGGGATGTGGCCTGAGCTCCTGGGGGCGTGGCCTGGTGCTGGGGTGTGGCCTATGGGGTGTGGCCTGAGGCCCCCCAGGAGGGCCTGGTCTGCGCTCTCCCGTGTGTCCAGCAGACTCAGGGGTGCAGGGCCACTGGGGTGGGCGTGGGCAGCCCTCGCGTGAGCCGCGGCCGGGCTGGCATGTGTTCCCGCCATGCCGCGCTGACCCCGCCGTCCGGCTGTCCGGCTGTCCGGCCCGCAGGCCCCAACGCACAGGTGGTCTACGCGCTGAGCGACTCGGCCGACGGCCGCTTCTCCATCGAGCCCCGCACGGGCGTCCTCCGGCTGGACAAGCCGCTAGGCGCGGCACCGCAGGCCCCGCTGCAGCTGACTGTGCGCGCCTCCGACCTGGGCACCCCCATCCCGCTGTCCACGCTGGGCACCGTCACCGTGTCTGTGGTGAGCCGCGACGACCACCTGCCCGTGTTCCTGGGCCCCGAGCACAGCGTGCGGCTCCCCGAGGACGCCCCCCTCGGCACTGAGGTCCTGCGGCTGGACACCCTCACCCGGCCGGGCCCCCAGAGGGCGGCCTTCCGCCTGGTCAGCGGGAATGAGCAGGGCCACTTCCGCCTGGACACCCACTCAGGTGAGGCAGAGCCCGGGCAGGGCGTTCACACCCGAGGCCGCAGGCTGGGGGCGCCTCTCCTGGCCCTCGCACCCCCTCAGTGCCTGCGGCTCCTCTCCAGGGGTCCTGTACGTCAATGGCAGCCTGGACTTCGAGACGACCCCCAGGTACTTCCTGTCCATTGAGGGCAGCAGAACAGGCGTGGCCTCCCTTGGTGACATCACCACGCTTGTGGTCAACATCACGGACATCAACGAGCACTGGCCCCGCTTCCTGCAGGACGCCTACCACGCGCGGGTGCCGGAGGACGCCCCCGTGGGCCGGGTCGTGCTCACGGTATGGCTGGACAGAGGGTCCAGGCGAGGCCCCAGGGTCGCGGGGGCAGGGTGACCCTACCATTCCCATGGCTCTTTACAGCGTCCAGCCCCGCCCCCTCCCAGGACCCCCACGCAAGGCCTCGTGTCCACTAGAGGGGGGTCCCTCCCCTCGAGCCTGCAGACCCCACGTCCACTTCCCAGGTGGGCTTGGATGGGCTGTGCCCGCAGGGGGCCCAAAAAGCCTGGCAGAGAGCACCGCCCGGTAACCCCAGGGGGAAGCAAGTGGCAGGTCTGGGTCAGGGGTGTGCCTGGGGCATGTCCCCGCCATGTTGGACGGCGCCTGGACTCAGCCCCTCCACCCCAAGGCTGCCTGCCCACACCCTCCCCTTGGCAGGTGTCTGCGGTCGACCAAGACGGAGCCCCCGGCAGGGCCATCACCTACAGCCTGGTGGGAGGCGACCAGCATGGGCACTTTGCCGTCCACCCCGAGAACGGGCAGCTGACGGTGGCCAGGGCCCTGGACTGGGAACAGGTGAGACGGCAGGGCAGGGGGCTTGCCTGCGTCCCTCCAGCCCGTGCAGCGGCCACACTGGACGGCCGGCTAGCGGGGACCCCACTGTCTCACCCCGCCCCAGGAGCACCTGCTCCCGGCCGGGCACGCCCACCAGCACTCTGGAACATTCTGTCCCCGGGAGGCCTGCGTTGCCCACCCGGTGCCGTATCAGGCATGGCCGGGGAGCAGGAAGCCGAGAACCAAGCACGGCGGCCAGCGCGGGTGGGCGGGCGCCTCGGTTCGGCTGACGCTCCTGTGCTCTGCCAGGCCTCTGGCTACTCCCTGCGGCTCCGAGCCACAGACAGCGGGCGGCCCCCTCTGCACCAGGACACCAGCGTCACCATCCAAGTGCTGGATGTCAACGACAACCCGCCGAGATTCTTCCAGCTCAACTACAGCGCCACAGTGCAGGTGGGAGGGGGCACCTGCCAGGTGGACCCCGCTGGCCCCGGGGAGCCCCAGGGCCAGGAGGCATCGGGAATGGATGAGGGGGTGGGAGGGTGCACCCCTGGGCGGGTGAGTGGACGGAAGGAAGGATGGAAGGATGGATGGGAGAGCAGATGGAGGGTGGAAGGATGGACGGGTGGGCGGGCGAGTGGCGGACGCGTGAGTGAGCGGATGACCGTATGGATGGATGGACACTGGATGAGTAAACGGGGAACTGTGGGGAGGGGTGGGTGGGTGATGGGCGGTGGAGGGGTGGGCAGACAGAGATGGGTGGATGGTGGATGGAGAGACGGAGAGGTGGATTAGGCGGAGAGGTGAGCAGCAGGTAGAAATGATGGACGGTGAGGTGGATGGGGGCACCGGTGGACGGATTCACAGATGAGTGAGATGAATGATGGATGGAAAGACGGCAGCATGAGTGCCTGGGGGCACCCAGTGCATGCCGCCTGGAGGTGGGTCGGAGACGCAAGGGGCCGGACTCACCCACTCTCGGCGGTCCTGTCCCTCAGGAGAACTCCCCCATCGGCAGACACATCCTGCAGCTGGTCCTGAGTGACTCCGACTCGCCTGAGAACGGACCCCCGTTCTCCTTCCGAATCACCCGAGGGAACGAGGCTTCCGTCTTCCAGGTGACCCCCGATGGCCGGCTTCTGACTGCTGCCAGTCTGAGCCGGAGTGTCCAGGACCAGTACCAGCTCCAGATTGAGGTGAGGGCGGCAGGGGCTCCGGGGAGACGCAGGTGCCTCCAAGGCGACTCTCGCTGTGCCAGTCTGGGCCCCGCACATGCCCAGGTACAGCTGTCGCCACTGAGGGTGCACCCTGGTTGGGCAGGCCACTGCCCGTCGCCTGTCTGTGCCTCATGCCCCGACCCTCGTTTCTTGTGACCCATGGACGAGGGGGTCGCAAACAGCGACAGCACCTGGGGTCCCTCAGGGTGTGCCACGGCCACCGTGGAGGGGGTCTTGCTCTTCTCACCCAATTCTGGAAGGGCGGCAGTGTGGGGTGCAAGGTGGCTCCTCGCGGGGGACACATGCGCCGAGAGCCAGCCGGTGGCGGGAGCGCGGGAGGGGCTGCCCGGGGCCCAGGCTGACGCCATGCTGACCACCGCAGGCGTCCGACAGCGGCAAACCAGCCCTCACGTCTTCCACCTCGGTCAGCGTGCGTGTGATCGCGCGGAGCCTCTACCCGCCGTCCACCCTGTCCCTGGACATCTTCATCACCCTCGGCGAGGCCGAGTTCCCGGGTGGCCTCGTGGGCAAGATCCATGCCACCGACCGTGACCCCCAGGACACGCTGACCTACAGCCTGGGGGCGGAGGCCCCCAACACGCACTTCTCGGTGGGCCCAGCGGACGGCACGGTGCTGGGTGCCCAAGGCCTGCCGTGCGGCCACCACGCCTTCAACGTCACGGTCAGCGATGGCAACTTTGCGGCCACGGCCAGCGTCCACGTGCACGTGTGGCGCGCCGAGCCGGACGCCCTGCAGCGGAGCATGTGGCTGGGCTTCCAGCAGCTCAGCCCCGAGGAGCTGGTCAGCGACCACTGGCGCAACCTCCAGCGCTTCCTGGGCCAGCGGCTGGACGTGGGGCGCGCTGGCATCCACCTGGCCAGCCTGCAGCCCGCTGAGGCTGGCCCCGGTGTGGACATGCTCCTGGTCTTCGAGGGCCATTCCGGAACCTTCCATCAGCTTCAGGACCTGGCGGCTGCCATCTCGCACTCGGCCCCGGAGCTGGAGCAGGCGGTGGGGGTGCAACTGCGGGCGGCCGTGCCCATGTCCCCCTGCCAGGGCGCAGGCTGCCGGGCGCTGCCCTGCCGCGAGACGGTACAGCTGGAACCAGTAGTGGGGCCCCCCTACAGCACTGCCCGGATCAGCGTGCTCAGCCCCCGGCACCGCCGGCTCCGCTGCGGCTGCAACGGTGAGCGCGGCCCCCTCCCCACGTCACGGCCGGCACTGGGGGGTGCAGGGCTGTGGCACGTGCCCGCGGTGACCCCCGGCCCCTCTGCAGGGACGGCAGCAGAGTTCAGAGGCCAGAGCATCGGGCGGTACCGCCTCCCAGGGGCCCCGGCCTGGGACGCCCACTTCCGCCTGAGGACCGGGCAGGCAGAGGCCACGGTCTTGCGGGTCCAGGGGCCGGTGAGCCTGTCCCTGCAGGTGAGTCCGCTCAGGGCCGTAGGAGGACGAGTGCCGGGCCAGGCGGCTGGGGGACCACCCCCAACAGGCCTTACCCCCACACGCCCGCAGGCTGCGATGCGCAGTCTCACGCATTACGTCACGCAGAGCTGGGGCGGGGCGGGGGCGGGGACGGGGCGGGGGGGGGGGCGGGGGCGGGCCCTGGGGACAGCGGGGAGGGCACTTGCCGGGGTGTGATCCTCGGCACCCCACGGGGTCCCCCAAGCCCGGCAGGACCAAGTGCGCCAGGAGTGGTCCCTCCCGCACACCCACCCTCTCCCCCCCCAACCAAAGACAGAGCCACTGAGAGCACATGGACAGCCCAGGGGGCCACAGGCGAGGAGTGCCTGACCCTGGGTCCAACGCCCCCCCAGCACAGCAGGGTCCGTAGGCACCGGGTGGTGCTCGTGGGGGCACAGCCTCTGGCTGACCACGGCCCTTTGCAGCTGGCGGACGGGGCACTGAGACTGGAGCTGCACTGCCCTGGGGGCTACCTTGGAAACCTGTCCTCGGAGCGGCGCCTGAGCGACGGGCAGTGGCACGCGGTGCGGCTGGAGGTGACCGGCGAGGTGGCCAGCCTGCAGGTGGACGGCAGCAGCGCGACCCTGGAGGTCCCGGGTAGCTGCAGGGGCCCCCGGCCGGAGAGTGAATTGGTGCTAGGTGGCCACCTGCTGCCTCCAGAGCTGCCCCGGGTCTCCCACGGCTTTCAGGGCTGCCTGGATGCGGTGGCCATCAACGGGGCAGCCCTGGACATGCTGGGCAGGACGGAGGCCGGCTGGCTGGAGCGGCGGGCACTCAGCCCCTGTTGCCCCCCGGACCCCAAGGACGGAGCCTGCAGCCCGAATCCCTGCGCCAACGGAGGCCAGTGCACCCCGCACCCCGCAGCAGGTGAGGCGGGGGGCACCCACGGGGGTCACAGTCCCGACCCAGGTCCTGGATCCCGGCCCCGAGGGACCACCCTGCTTCTCTGAGGCTCGCTCCCGCCCACAGGCTGTGTGAGGGCATCTCGCACCTGGCACGCAACCGAAGGGGACGCTGTGCTGGGCGCCCCCCAGGGCCCGTGGGTGCTCCACCTCCCTCTGCTCTGACCCGACCCCAGCCCCGACTCCCCGCCTGGCCAACCTCCTCCAGGCCATGGGGATTCCGGGTGGCTGACCCCGGGGCAGGGGCCTCTGAGCTGCATGAGGGATCCGACGGGTCCCAGCCCTGCCTGCTGTGCCCCCAGGTTTCCTGTGCCAGTGTCCCCCCGGCTTCTGGGGGCAGCAGTGCCAGCAGGGACAGAATTGCTCTTCCCCCGACTGCCCGGACCCAGTGGCCTGCACACCTCCAGGGGGCGCCCCCTGCGGCTGCCCGTATCCCCAGCAGGGAGAGAGGTAAGGGAGGGGAAGGGGGCACCAGCAGGGACAGCCTGACTCACGGAGACCGGGTCCCAAACAACCTCTCTGGAGCGCACCCACCTCTTAAACAAGGGTGCTGGGTGTGGGTGAGGGGTGCTGGGTGCAGGGTACTGGGTGCAGGGTGCTGGGTGAGGGATGCTAGGTGAGGGAGCATTTCCCTCTCCGGGATCCTTTAGGTGACAGTTATTCTAATGGCAAAGGGTGCTGGGTGCAGGGTGCTGGGTGCAGGGTCCCAGGAAGGGCCATTCCACCCACACGGGTGTCTGGGTGAGGCCGCGTGTGGGCGGGGCCTGTGGTGCAGGGCGAGGCCTTGGTGTGTGTAGTGGGGCCTGCGGTTTGGGGGCGGGCCTACGATTGGGGGGCGGAGCCTGCCGGTTGGGGCGGAGCTATGGCTTTGGGGTGGGCCTGCGGCATGGGCGGGGCTACGTTTGGGGGGCGGAGTCTGCAGTTTTTGGTGGAGCTGCTGTTTGGGGCGAAGCTATGGCTTTGGGGCGGGCTGTGGTGTGGGCGGGGCTACGTCTTTGGGGCGGAGTCTGCGGTTTTGGGGTGGAGCTTCAGTTTGGGGGCGGGGCTCCGGTTTGGGGGCGGGGCCTGTGGTTTGGGGGCGGGCCTGCGGTTTGGGGCTGCTGCGAGCGCATCTCTCTTGCCCGCAGGTGTGACGCTGAGAGCCGCGGTTGCGCAGCGGGCAGCTGCCTGGTCACCCCGGCCGTGAAGAGTGGGGACTGGGGCCAGCAGGAGCTGCTGCTGCTCGGGGCCGCCCTCCTGCTCGTGCTGGCCGCGGCCGCCGGGCTGCTTCTCTACCGCCGCCGCCGCCGCGCCCACAAGCCCGTGGCCAGGGAGGACCCGGACCTGCTGGCCAGGAGTGTGGGCGTGGGCACCCAGGCGCCCCCCATCCAGCTCGGCGCCCTGGGCACCGGCGCCGGGGACCCGCTGGCCCACGCAGAGCCCGGCAAGGCCTCCGAGCTCGTCACCTTCGGCCCCAGCTCCAGGCACCGCCCGGTGGTCTGCAGCGTGCCCCCTCGACTGCCGCCCGCCGCGCCCCCGTCCCGCGCCGAGGCCGGCGTGAAGAGGACCTGGTCGGGCGAGGCGCTGGGTCAGTGCGGGCCCCGTGGGCCCTCGGGGCGAGGCGGGCAGTGCTCGAGGCCAGGGCCGGGGCCCACAGCCACAGCAAGGTTTCAAGGTCATGGTGCCGGTCACCGCCAGGGGCTCGGTGTCACGGGGCCAATGGGAGGGGTCACCGCAGGGGCCAGGGGCCAGGGCGGGGCAAGCCGGGTGCAGCTGGCAGCTCACAGCCATGCAGAGCCGGGAAGGTCCGGAGGGTCCAGTGCCGCGCGGGGATGGGCTGGCCTCGGCGCCCCCGGCTGGCCTCCCGGGGGGCGCGCGGTGCCGGCAGGCAGGCAGCCCTTTGGCTCTCGCCCCCTCCTGTGATCCCGCGGGGGCCCCCCGGGGCTCAGGGACCCTGCGCCGGTGGGGCCTGTCCAGCGCGGGCGGGGGGCGCTCACCTGCCCCTCTTGCCTTCCAGACGCGCCGACGGCCTGGCCCCCCGCCTACTGCAGGAAGGACGCGGGCCCCCCGCAGCCGGTGCCCTACGGGGGCTTCCCCTTCCCCCTGGAGCTGGGCAACAAGCGGGCGCCGCTCCCGCCGCGCTACAGCCACCAGGACCTGGACGCGCTGCTGGCCCCGGGCCCGGGCGCGTACCCGGGCGAGTACCCGGGGGGCGAGTACCCGCGCGAGTACGCGGGCGAGTACACGGCCGTCAGCTACTACCACGCGCGCCTCCCGCGCCGCGCCGGCCCCGCCTACGCCGACGGCGACGCGGGGGTCGCGCTGCCCCCCGGCCGCGGCGGCCAGCGCCCCGCGCCCCCGCACTACGCCGGCTCCGACCAGGTGGAGAGCGACTACGGCAGCTGCGAGGAGGTGATGTTCTAGCAAGCCGGGAGGCGGCGAGGGGCGAGGCGCGGCGAGGGTGACGTCGGAGAGGGAGGCGGCGGCAGCGCGGGCGAGGGTGACGTCAGAGGGAGGCGGCGGCAGCGCGGGCGAGGGTGACGTCAGAGAGGGAGGCGGCGGCAGCGCGGGCGAGGGTGACGTCAGAGAGGGAGGCGGCGGCAGCGCGGGCCAGGAGGCAAGGGGTGAGATGACGTCAGAGCCGCGAGGAGGTGACGCCACAGTGGCGAGGTGACGTCAGAGTGGCCAAGGCGACGGCACCCCCCCATGGGACACGGCCAAACGCTCGTTCAGGCAGAGCAGATGCAGCGCCCGGTCACCCTCCACGTGGGCGTGCAGGGGTGAGGGGTGGCCCCGACGGCAGGGTGCCCCCGAACTGGGCGTGGTGACCGCGGGTCCCTGAGGAGGCCGTGTGCCCAGCAGGGGTGGGGAGCCGGCCGCAGGGTGCAGCACTGGGTGCCCCGACCGAGCCAGTCCCTGTGGGCAAACAGATGGTGACCGGGCACCCTGGGCCCGCGTCACATCCCAGGATCTCGAGTTCAGGGCCCGCGGCCGAAGGACGCGTCAAAGGGTGTCCAGGAGTCCACCTGGTGTGTGGACGAGCCGCAGAGGCCGCAGGGACACAGCCCGCTCGGTGCAGGGCCGGCGGCGAGCACCGGCTCAGAGCCTGCCGGGCCACAGGGGCCGTGCAGTGTGCAAATGTGCACATGGACCCCGGGAGCACGGACACGTGCCAGTGGTGTGCGCCTGTGAGCGGACCCAGCGTTCCAGGGCCACCGACGTCCTGTCGAGCACACCAGCAAGGGCAGGACACGTGTGCGTGTGGGCACGTGCAGTACGTGAATGCAGAGCCCACAGAGGCACACACTCACATGTGAACAGGTGTATGCATGTGTGAACATAGGGACGGGGGCGGGAGGGGGGATTGGGTGCACACTATGCTGGCATGTGAGTGTGGGGATGCATGGGGTCCTGCACATGTGCAGGCATGTGTGAGGACACGTGGAGCATGTGCATACATGTGCAGGCGTGTGAAGCGCGTGCACATGTGTGAAGTTGTGCGTGCATGTGTGCTCATGCCCTGTACCCATGGGGACACTGTGGCAGGAGTGGAGGAAGCAGAGCCGATGGCCGTCCACCTCGCCCGTCCCGCCTCCCCCGACAGTGCGTGAGGAAACAGTCCAGGGGTAGGGTGCCTGGCTCCTGGGCTGTTTCAATAAAGGATTTTCACTGAGCAAACCGCCCCAGCCGCCTGCTTGTCCGGTCAGCGGGAGGGCAGGGGTCAAGGATTGGGGCGGGGTGGGAGGAGCCGACCGTCAGAGGGCAGGATGGGGCCCAGCCAGCTGGAGGAGCCCCACGACCCAGCACAGACCCCGGACCTGCCCTGCAGTAGACACAAACCCTGGCCTCAGCACCCAGAGCCCCAGAACCACAGAACGGGGCGAGGACGAGCCTGGGGCCTCTGCAAAGGTGCAAGTACTCGGCCCTGGGGACACGCGTGCTGTCCTGGAGGGTCCCGCTGGGCCCCCGGGACCTGCTGGACAGTCCTGCACGCCCACAGGGAGTCCAGCAGGAAGAGCACCTGCGCAACCCACGACAGGCGCAGAGACCATGGGCCAGGCCACCTGGAACCACCACCAAGGCCCTTTATTGAGGAGTCGACACGGGCTGAGGGGACTGGGGGTCTTGTAAGGGCTCCTGGGACCCGTGTCCCACACGGGAGCTACGCGTCAACACAGCACCACGGGCAATGCCCCCAAGATCTCTCCCACCCCGCCCTGAGTCAGAAGTGCAGGAACCAGCTCAGACAGATGGCCACTGCCCCCCAGTTCCCCGCCAGAGCAGGGGCACTAGGCCTGCCCGGGCCCGCTCACCATGGCGGGGGAGTGTGAGGGCAGCGGGCAGCACCGCAGGGGCACGCAGCCCCTGACATCGCAGGACATGCTCCAGACCCGTCTGAGGGGCAGGCGGGGTGAAGGGGCCCCCGACATGTGGGGCGGGGACTGGGAGGGGGAGGCAGGGGCCACAGTGTCACACAGACTCACACCACAGTGCTCTTGTGCCTCCCGGGGACTGTCCCCAACCAGCAGCTGGCAGGGAGGAGCCCCGACACCTACTGCTGGCGGGGGGGAGGGTCTGCTGCCTTCCTGCCCTCGAGCCTGCGGGGACACGCCCGGCAGAAGCGTCTAGAAACAGTCTGACTTCACAGGCTCCATGATGGAGCCACCAGTCTCGGGACCCCTGGGGGCTGGCGGCCAGCGCCACGTTCCCCACCTGCGTGGGGGACCCTAGGGGAGCCGGACGGGGGACACGGCGGCCGCGCTGTGTTCGGACACGGCCACGTGAGCAGCCCTGGCCCCGCCGTCCTGTCCCTGTGGCCGTGGGGACCTGGCCTGACCGCCGGTGGCACGTGTAACAGCTACACAGAGGCACCAATGGGGTGGATGAGGACAGGGCCGTGGCTGGGCTGGATGAGCTCGTCCAGCGACTGGTAGGTGCCCACCGCGAAGCCCAGGAGGCCCAGGAGGCTGATGAGGACGTCCTTGGCGAGCGTGAGGGGGCTCAGGCCCTCCGCGGAGAAGGTGGCCACCTCCAGCAGGGGTGGGATGATGAGGGCCAGGGCGCTGCTGCTCACCGAGCCCACCAGGGCCAGGACCAGGTCCAGGCGGGGGATGAGGACGGCCAGGACGCCTGTGGGAGAGAGGACATGCCGTTCAGACAGCGGGGGCTGCCGGAAAGACCCCTGTGGCCAACACGCATGTACACACGTGCCTACATACAAGCACACACAGATGCACACGCGGATGCAGGTGGGACCAGCGAGGGGCTGTCAGCAGTGATCGCAGAGGCCCTGGGCGACCCCACGGTGGGATGCAGGAAGACCCCATCGAGTGGAGCTGGGCCCCCACCCCCACAGGACTCTTTAACCCGAGGCCATTTCTAGGAGTTTGGCAGCTGGGCGGGGTGTCAGGTGTGTGTCCCTGGGGCCCAGTGTGTGTCCAGCATCGGCAGAGCCCCCACTGGCCTGGAAACCTCATGCTCGGCTCGAGCCCAGACAGGTAACACGTGGGTCAGGACGCGTGCCCCCAGGTGGGCTGGGTGGCTCCAGGGCACACGGAGACCCCATCCCACATTGGCCGGAGCCTCACAGACACGTGTCCCCAGCTCAGGTCCCTGGGCCCAGCGTGTACCATGTGTAGCCCACAGACGTTTCAGGCGGGGGGACAGGAGAGGCCAGGAGGGGGGCAGGGGGCAGGGGAGAGGGGGCAGGGGTGCAGGAGCCCCAGCTGACCTGCTGAGCTGCAGCAAACTCACACTGGCCCCCAACTGCCTCAGGAACCAGGCCCAAGGCAGCGGTCAATCACGGGGGTGGGGCCACCCAGAGGAAGAAGGGTCCCACCCCACCAGGACCAAGGGCAACAAAGGTCACAGTCCTGCCCCCAGTGAGGAGACAGGAGGGCGGAAAGGAAAGGCCCAGACACCAAGGTCACCAGGCTGGGGAGGTCACAGGGACAGGTTTCAGAACTGATCTGACTCTCCTGGCTCCAAGCCCGCCCCAGAGCTACTGGGAGGGTCAGCGAGTGGCCTCCAGACACAAAGAGAGGCCTGAGATAAGGATCAGCGAGAAAGATTGAGACAGGAGCCAGGCTGGGAAGGTTCTAGAAGGTCCTTCTAAGGATTCTATACTGTCCCCAGGTGGCCCCCTTGGGTTCTAAACTGTTCCCAGGAGCTCCCCCCAGGAGTTCTAGACTGCTCCCATGAATCCCCTCTGGGGGTTCTAGACTGTTCCCAGGAGACCACCCGGGTTTCTAGACTGCTCCCAGAGGCCCCCGGGGGTTCTAGACTGTTCCCGAAAGGTTCCCTGGGGTTCTAGACTGTTCCCAGGAGGTCCCCCAGGGGTTCTAGACTGTTCCCAGAAGGACACCCCAGGGGTTCTAGACGGTTCCCGTGAACCCCCTGGTGGTTCTAGACTGTTCCTGGGAGGTTCCCTGGGGTTCTAGACTGTTCCCAGGAGGTCCCCAGGAGTTCTAGACTGTTCCGGGGTTCCCGCGGGGGTTCTAGACTGTTCTCGGGAGATTCCCTGGGGAGTTCTAGACTGTTCCAGGAAGTTTTCTTAAAAAGGTCTTGACTGTTCCCAGGAGGCCTGTGGAGGTTCTCCTCTGGAAGTCACTAGATGGTTTCAGGAGGCTCCTCTGAGGTTCTAGATGGTTCCCAGGAGGCCCCTTTGGGGTTCTAGATGGTTTCCCAGGAGGTCCCTCTGGGGTTCTAGACTGTTCCATGGTCCACCTGAAGGGTTCTGGCTTGGCCGCTGTATTGTTCACGCATGTATGGTCAGCACCTGTTCCTCCAGCCCCTTCACTGCATTGCACGATTCACTGCTGTGGCCGAGAACGTCCACCTCGTCCCTGAGAGCCCGCGAGAGCCCGTCCGTCCCACTCCAGGAGGCATGAGAGCCCCCGCCCCGGGAATCCATTTCCAACAGCCATGAGGAGCTGTGGGCCAAGGTTCCCCACGGGGCCTCGACCCCGGCACCGCCACTCGCGGCCACACCCCAGACACTCTGGCCCAGAACGGTCCAGGCGGGGCAACCACTGTTCGCAGAGCAATGCCCGCCTGGGGGTCCCCGCCCGTCCCCCCGAGCAGGGAACTTCACGCACCAGCACCGGCTTCTCTCAACCTGCGGCGCAAACACGCGCCTCTCACGGCCGCCCGCACCGCTCCCCGCCCGGTGGGCACCTCCACCCGGGCCCTCGCCACGGCGCCCGCCGGTCACACGGCTACTCACAGGTGAGGCAGACCAACGCCGTGCGCACCAGCAAGTCCACGGCCAGCTCGCAGCCCTCGGACACGCGGGCCACAAAGAAGGGGACGATGATCTGGGCCGGGACGTAGAACTGCAGCGCAAACGTGAAGAAGATGCCGAAAGAGTAGAGCAGCTTCACCGCCTGGTACAGCCTGGGGGCGGGGCACGGTCACGCGGAGGCACACGGCCCCTGCACTCCCCCTCAGGTTGGGGCCACACCCGGCAGTGCTCAGGGGACCCAGGCGGCAGCGGGCCGGCAAGAGCCCTCCCCACTGTGCCACTGCCCAGGCCCTCCCACCACTCGCTCCCACCCCCAGGCACCACGCTCCACCCGCAGCTCCGTCCCCGCCCCTCTGTCCCCGGGGCCAGGCGCGCACCAGCAGCTGGGCAGGTTGAGGGTGATGCTGGCCTGCACGGCCGCCCCGAACTGCAGGTAGCCCAGGCAGCCGAGGCTGATGTAGAGGGCCGTGACGAGGCTCATGCCCACGTACAGCAGCGCCGGGAACCGCCACGGCTCCTTCATCTTATTCTCCAGGGGCAGCACCTGCCAGGGCACAGGGCAGGTGAGCAGTGCACCTGGCAACCCGGCACCCGGCACCCGCACCCCAGCTATGCTCACCACGCCGATGCCTTCGAAGGCGAAGATGGCCGTGCCGAAGAAGAGAGGGTACGTCTTCCACGAGGCCACCAGGGGCAGGGCGCGGGGGTCCGGGATCCTCTGTGGGGGAGACAGAGGAGTCCCCCGTGGCTCCAGGCAGCCGGGGGCGGGGCCAGGGAAGGTGGGACGGGCCTCAGGCACCTCAAGGCTGGGGCCAGCTTATCTCACACCCGCCCCCTGGGCATCTCCCAACGCCCACCCCACCTCACGCCTGTCCCGACACCCTGCAAGTTCCTCGGAGGACCTCTGACCACCTGTGCTGCCCGTCCTCGGGCTGGCCCTGAGCCCGCTGCCCGCTGGCCGTCCTCGGGGCTGGACACCCGCGGAGCTGCAGGCGGACCCGGGCGGGTGGGGTGGGCGGAAGTGCCGCGTCTCTCACCTGCAGCAGCCGCTGGTAGATGAGCACAAGGCTGAGCAGCATGCTGACGTTGGCCAGCGTGGACAGCACGGCCAGCACACGCAGGCTGCGCACGAACACCAGCAGCACCAGGAAGGGCAGCAGGGCCAGCATGTAGAGCCGCGCGTCCATGGACGGCGTCAGCACCACCGTGGCGTTGCTGTGGCAGTCACTGCTGGTGGCGTTGGCCGCCTCCACCACCTGGGGACGACGGGGGCTTTAGCGCCCAGCCGGGCCGAACCCTCCCGTGCAGGGACCCCCCCAGAAGTGCTCACACCTGGGTCTTCAGTTAGAGCAGAGCGAGACCCGCATTCGCCACCTCTCTCCACAGCCCGTTCCCCAGGGCCCAGTCCACAGGGTATGGCCGATGGGGGCCAGAACTGCCCCAGCAGCCCAGCACTGCCCAGCCCTGCAGCCCTGCCCCATGGCCCAGGACTGCCCCCAGGGTCCAGCGCTTCACAGCACTGCCCCGATGCCCAGCCTGGACACAGGATTCACCTGCTTGATGTTGACAGCCAAGAAGACAAAGTAGACGCAGCAGAACCCGAGCTGGGTGACGACGAGGAAAAAGTCCACCAAGCGCCTGCGGGAGGGGAGGCCCAGAGGAAGCAGACCTGAGGCGGCTGCAGCACCCCGAGTCTGCAGGGAACCCTGACACTCCCAGGGGGCCCCCCTGCCCCGCACCCCATGTGCCCACTCTCTCCCACCTGTACAGAGCCCCGCCCGAGACCCCCAGCTGCTAGTGCCCTTTAATGCTGCCAGAAGCCTGAATATGAAGCCTGGGGTGGGACCCTCACAGTCTCTGAGAATTTTCTGGACTGTGGACCCAAGAACAAGCTGTTTTGACCTCAGCCACTCAGCACAGCCGTGCACCGGTCTCACCCCAGAAGTCGAGCAGAAGCTCTCAAGGGGCTGTGTGGTGGACAGACAGGGCAGGTGGCAGGCTTGGCACAAGGCGTGGGCACGTGTGCGTGTGCCCTCATGGGGGTCTGCAGGGAGCATCGTGCACCCACCATCAGCCCCCAGTCAGGTGGGAAAGCTGCCACGCTGTGACGGCCATGCCCAGGAGCGGGGCAAAGGGCCTGCCAGGACTTCCCCAGAGGCAGCTGTGCTGGGCGCTGGCCTTTCATGTGGCCAGCCCACGCTTGATTGCTGGCACCCCAGAGGATCCCCCAAGCTCGCCAGGAGTGATCCCTGAGCACAGAGCCAGGAGTCAGCCCCGAGTGCCACCAAAACAACAAAGGCTGGCTGTAGCAGGATCTGAACGACTGTGGCTGCTCTGTGCCATGACCGGCAGGGGCAACACCAAGGCCCCCAGGCTATGTCCCCAACACCAACGGCAGCAGGCCAGGGTCAGAGCTGGCACTCACCCCAGGCCGCCTCTTGCCTCCCACCCCACTCCCTACGGCAAACCCCCAAATGGTCCCCCAGGCACCATTAGGAGTAATTGGGAGCCCTGGGGGCTGCAGGAGCCCCGCCCACTCCGAATCCGGCCCACCCAGGGAAGCCGCGCCCACTCTAAACCCCGCCCACCCGGACTCCGCCCATCTGGAAAGGCCCTGCCTACTCCGAATCCCGCCCATCCAGGCCCCGCCCACCCACTCCGAATTCCTCCCACCCAGGGAAGTCCCTCCACCGAGGCCCCGCCCACCCAGGGAAGTCCCTCCACCAGGTCCTGCCCACTGCCAAGTCCCACCCACCCAGGCCCTCCACGGGGGAAGTCCCGCCTACCCCAGGTGGCCTAGCGGCCCTCACCTGCCCCAGTGGGCGTGGTTCTGAAGCCAGGGGCTGGGGCAGGACTCCAGGCCGTACATGACCGCGTCCCCGTAGTCCACGAAGGGCTTGTTAAGCCTGGGAGAGAGTCCGCGCACAGTGAGCTGGGGTCAGGGCCGGAGGGTGGGTACTGGGCACATGTGCGGGTAGGGGGCGGGCTCACCTGTGGCAGAAGTGGTTGGCGCACTTGACCAGGAGCCCCATGCAGTGCACGGCCACCACACCCATTACCAGCAGGCTGAGGGGGCCCACCTGGGTGCAGGGGACAGTGGCGTTAGGGGCGTGGACAGACAAGGGGCAGGGCCAGCACGGGGGGCCAGGGGGAAGAGGCCCAGCGTACAGGGCTGGGCTTCCTCACCAAGCCAGAGGACTTTGCACACAGGTTCACAGGCAGGCAGGCACACATAGAGGCACACACATGCACACACGGGCACACACATGCACACACGGGCACACACATGCACACACGGGCAAACACACATACAGGCACACACAGGCACACACATGCACACACAGGCACACACACATACCAGGGACACACATGCACACATGAACACACACACATACCAGGCACACACATACACACACGGGCACACACACATACCAGGCACACACATGCACACACACATACCAGGCACACACGGGCACACACACACACACACGGGCAAACACACATACAGCCACACACATGCACACACGGGCACACACACATGCACATACACATACAGCCACACACATGCACACAGGGGCACACACATGCACACACGGGCACACACATGCACACATGGGCGCACACACATAACAGCCACACACACATACCAGGCACACACATGCATACACGGAACACACATGCACACATAGGCACACACACACGGGCACACATGGGCACACACATGCACACACGGGCACACACATGCATACATGGGCACACACATGCACACATGGGCAAACACACATACAGGCACACACAGGCACACACATGTACACACAGGCACACACACATACCAGGGACACACATGCACACACGGGCACACACATGCACACATGGGCATACACATGCACATACTGGCACACACACATACAGGCACACACACATACCAAGCACACACATGCACACAGGGGCACACACATGCACACACGGACACACACATACCAGGCACACACATGCACACATGAGCACACACATGCACACATGGGCATATGTACATACCAGGTACATACATGAACACACGGACACACACATACAGGTACACACATGCACACACGGGCACACATATATACGCACATACAGTCACACAAGCACATACATGCACACATGCACAGACACATATACACAGGTACAGCCAAGCACATATAAGGTGCACACAAACACAGGCACAGACAAGCACACACAGACACACATTCGCATGCACACGCAGACATATCTGCAGGTACAACAGACACATGCACAGGGATCCACATGCAAGGCACACACCTATACACTCATGTGCACACATACAGACGTGCAGAGATACACATGCACGGGCATACACGCATGTAGGCAAATAGGTACATGCACACATGCTGGCACACACGGGAACAGGTGCTCATGGGTAGGCACACACACGTGCAGACATGCAGACACATGTGCAGGCCCACGCTGGCGTGTGCAGCCCTGCGGGACCGGGGCACGGGCTCACCAGGATGCCGGCATTCTTCACGGCCAGCGGAAGCCCCAAGAGGCCAGTGCCAATGTTGCCCTTCAGCAGGTGGATCAGGGTCTGGAACCATCTGGGAGGGATGGAGGGACAGGAAGGACGTCAGCAGTGCCACGAGCACCAGCTCGGCCCTGCACCCCGGGAGGCCCAGGGGCAGTGTGTGTGCAGTGCAGGCTGCCCGTCCCGTGGTCCCCCGGCTCCCATCCCGTGTCCAGTGCAGGCTGCAGCCCAGAGGCCCTGCAACAGAGGGTCCACGCGGGTCAGAGGCGGGTGGGGCCGGGGCCCGAGAGGCTGTGTCCCCGTACGCCCCCCGCCCCTCAGGAGTGGACCGTGCGGCCCAAGCAGGCAGGAGGAGGGCCTCGGAGTGGACAGGCCGGGGCTGTGCGGGACAGGGGGAGGCAGGTACGGTGCCCCTGGCTAGCAGCCGAGGGTGGGCGGGGCTCACGTGGTGCCCTGGGTGCCCCCCAGGCGTTGGTAGGAGCCAGGTGGGGCGGCACAGCTTGGGTCTTCCGAAGGGGTCTCCTCGGGGCTGGCGTCGGTTGAACTGTAGTCCTGGTAGTCCTCCCGGCGGAGGCGTTGGTTGGACATGGTGGCTGCGTGGACAGTGTCTTGGGTAAGGGAAGGTTTTAGATTGCCTATGGCTGCAGGGGTCACACCTCCTGGTCAACCCGAGAGGGTCACACTGTACACTCCCTCACCAAGGAGCAGCAAACAGACGTCCACTGCACTCTGACCCGCTCACAGATGCCCACCAGCCTGACCCACTGACAGACGCCCACCACTCTGACCCGCTGACAGAAGCCCACTGCGCTCTGAGCCCCGCCGGCACACACCCAGGAGTCCAGCCACGTGGGTCCATTGCGCCCTAAAACGTCCCCTACCCCCACGGCTCCTGGGAGCAGGTGGGAGGGTGGGGTCCACGTGCACCAGGAAACCAGCGGGGTGGATGGGGGCCTCCGTGGGTCGGGGCTCGGGGTCCCTCCAAGGGAGGAGCCGTGGCAACCTCACATCACAAACCCTGCCATGGAGACGGGGGAGGGGCAGCCCCCACCCCACGGCTGGACGCTGAGCCCGGCCACCACCCTGGGGAGCAGGCCGCCTCATCCGGCCTGGGGTGGGCCTCTGACATGGGCCTGGGAGCGAGAGGAGACAGTGAGAACGCAGCCTCCCCGACCAAGACCCCGCACTGGGATCCGCGCCCAGGAAGCAGGCTGCCCGCTGGGAACGCAGGTCCAGCGTCCCCACTGGCCAGAGGGGAGCGAGCTGGCCTGAGGGTGCAGCAGCCCCACCAACCGCCTCCTTCCGGAAGACAGAGAAAGGGAAGAACAAAGAGAGGAAGAACCCACACCGCACATTGCCACAGAGCCCCTGGCAAGAGATGGGCACTCCTGGGCAGGGCGGAGGGACGGGCTCTTCCGGGCAGGGATGGGGGTCGGACACTCGCAGGCAGGACAGAGGGATGGACACTCCTGGGCACGATGGAGGACGGACACTTCCGGGCGGAGACAGAGGGATGGACACTCGGGGGCGGGGACGGAGGGATGGACACTTGCTGGCAGGACAGAGGGATGGACACTCCCGGGCAGGGTGGAGGGACCGCCACCCGCCGGCAGGAACGGACACTCCTGGGCAGGGACAGAGGGATGGACACTCCCGAGCAGAACAGAGGGACGGACACTCCCAGCAGGACAGAGGGACGGGCACTCCCGGGCAGGGCGGAGGGACGGACAGTCCCGGGAAGGAGAGATGGACGCTCGCGGGCAGGACAGAGGGATGGACGCTCGCGGGCAGGACAGAGGGATGGACACTCGTGGGCACGATGGACGGACGGACACTCCCGGGCAAGGACGCTCCGGGGCGGCGTGTCCAGCCGCGCGCCCTGCAGCCCGGTGGCCGCTGCGCCCCCTCCGGGCCGGCCTTCCCGGGGCGCCCGCGCTCGGCCCCCGCCCGGCTCCCCGTGGCCCCGGGGCTGCGCGGCCACCGCGCCCCCCGCCCGGCGGACCCCCGCCCCCGGGGTCGCGCACTCACCGCTCCGCCGCGCCGCCGCCGCCGCTTCCGGGCCCGTCACGTGACCGCGCGGCCGTCACGTGCCCGCGAGCCGGGCCGCAGCGCCCTCTGGTGCCCGCGCGCGGCCCTGCAGCCGCGGCCGGGCTGGAGTGTCACCCGGTCACAGCAGGCCCAGAGCAGCATCCCCGGGGTCACGTGCCTTGCACGCCGGCGGTCCGGGTTCGATTCCCGGTATCCCGTAGGGTCCCCCTGAAAGAATCCATATTAGGGCGTTAAGTTTTTGCTTGCTTCAGCTAACTTACAATATTGCTTTCTGTAAAACCGCTGGGCTGCTTTGCAACCGGTAACTTCTTGTGAATGTGAGCAGAACAGGACGTAACTCCTTGGGAAACCAACAGTGACAGGCAGGGTTCAGGCGTATTCACTGTCCCTGGAATGCGTTGTTCCTATAAAGAATCCTGCAGATGTCTTGGGTGATGGATGACCCAGGATGCAGTGGCTGGCGGAGATTACCCAAGGCTTAATGTTCCCACCATAACCTTGCTTATGATAACAATCGATGTATGTAACTGCTGACTTCTGAATCTATAGCCTATGGAATGCGCGGGCTTTGTTGTAACAGCCGGTGAAGGCCCATATAAGACCCTCTTTGAAGAAGCTCGGGGCTCTCTCAGCCACTGCCCACTCTGGGGTATGCCGTGGAGCCCCAGCACGTTGGTCTAAATAAACCCCGTTTGTACTCCTGCAAGAATTGTCTCTGTCTGGTCTCTCCGCGCCTCCCAGGGCCAGGGGACTCCCGATCCCAGCACCCCGAGCGCCGCCAGGAGTAACCCCCGAGCATCACCGGGTGGGATCCAAAAAGCCTAATAATAACAACAATAATGATAAATAAAGTATTTTTAAAAGACCACAGTGGTGGGGCTGGAGCAATAGCACAGCGGGGAGGGCGTTTGCCTTACACGCGATCGACCCAGGTTGATTCCCAGCATCCCATATGGTCCCCTGAGCACCGCCAGGAGTAACTCCTGAGTGCAGAGCCAGGAGGAACCCCTGTGCATCGCCAGGTGTGACCCAAAAGGCAAAAAAATAAATAAATAGATAAAAAATAAAAGACCACAGTGGTCCACATGTGACACCCTCGCGTGGCCCACACAAAGCTCACACCCAGGCCACGTGTGACTCCCCTGTGGCCCACACCTGGGCCAGGCCTCTTGGCATGCCAGCGACTGGACATCAGAACAGGCGGGACCAGGCACTCGGAGACAAATGTGTGGCCAGAGGGAAGCGGGGACAGTGCCGGGTGGTGTTTGCTCAGAAGCAGACAGGGACCCTCCCAGCCGGGCAGCTTTGCAAGCCATGCCAGGCAGGGCTGCTCCACAGTGCCTCCTGCTGGTGACGTGGGCCAGCACTAGCGCCCAGCTGACCTTCACTGGGCACCGTCCACCAGCTGGGGGCTGGTGCACGAGGAAGGCTCCATGGTGGCTGTCCCTGCTGACAGAGGGGCCCGCGGGTGCAGACGCTCCGTGCACAGGCTCCTGCGTCTTGGCCCCATGGGCCCCATGGGGGAAGCAAAGTTTGGGGGCTGTGCCCAGGGGTCCCACAGCGGAAGTGTGGGCCTCCTGCTGCACTGGTTCTGGGCGGCTCAGGGCTGGTGACGGCCCCGGGGGTGCCGGCCAGGCCAGGTCACACGCCCGACAGCTCCCCGGCTCTCGGGACTCACCCTGGGAGCCGCTGACCCAGGGGCCTGTGGCTGAGCTCAGGGTTTGTGGCCGTGGGGGCCGGGTGGGGCACTTGGGGGCTCAATGACAGACCTCCCTTGAGCCAGGCCCTGTGGTCATTCTGCTCCGGCCCTGCAAGGGGGGGACGGAGACGCTGGTGCAGGGCAGCACAGGGCACTGGCCAGCGTGTCCGTCCCTGCGCAGAGCTAATGACAGACTGAGAGTGAGAGAGCCCAGGACAACTGTGGCTGCAGAATGCCACCGCAGTGCCAGATGCCAGGGTGCCCCGCCCTCAAGGCACCAGTGGGCATCGCTCTCCCTCTCCCTCCCTCCTTCCTCCCTTTTTCTCCCTCTCTCCTTCTCTCTCTCACACACAAACTCTCACACACATTCTTTCTCTGTCTCTGTCTCTGTCTCTGTCTGTCTGTCTGTCTGTCTGTCTGTCTCTCTCTCTCTCTCTCTCTCTCACACACACACACACATACACACACACACACACACGGCGACCCTCTCCCTCACACAAGGCAGAGCCACCCTTAAGGGTGAGTAAATGCCCCTTTTTCCTGGCTTCAGAAAATAGGAGCCTCCAGGACCCCTTGGGAGCCAGAGCTGAGGGGCTTCTGGGGGGTGAGGGAAAGAGAGGGGAGGAGGAGCAGGGGAGGGGAGGGGCCGGGGAGGGGAGGAGCAGGGAGGAGAGGGGGATGGCCGGCTCCCCTGGCCCTGTGACCTCAGTCCCTGCTCCCGGGAGCCGGCCCTTGGCTCCTCCTAGGCCCTGCCCCGGCTGTCGGTGCCGGCTGGGTCCCTGGAGAGCCCCCGCGGCTCAGGGCCCCTGACCACAGGAGGAGTCCCCCCAGGCGCGGGGCGGGGCCTGAGCCGAGGGTCACAGATCACAGTCACCTGCTCCCTCGCAGCCGAGTCCCCACAGCCCCGCGCCTGCCGCCCCAGCACCATGTCCGGGAGCAGCGGGAGCCCCCAGGGTGCCGGCACCCTCAGCCTGGACCTCGTGGGCCCTACGGCCAGCAGTGAGAAGCAGCAGCAGCAGGAGGACGTGGGCCATGGGGACGCCGGCGCCTGTGAGCAGGGGGGCACGGGGAAGACCCAGGGAATCACGTGAGTGACCCTCCGGCCGGCAGGACGACTGGGCACTGGGGTCTGTCCCCCACCTAGCAGGAGGGGGAGGCCGGGGGGGGCCCAGAGCACAGAAACAGGTGGGAGAGGGAGGCCGCGGAGGGACTTCAGCCTCAGTTTCCCCTCGGTGCCGGGCGGTGCAGTGGCCCCAGGGCAGCCAGGCCCTGAGAGGGTGGCCTGGGAGGGCCTTTATCTCACAGCCCCGGGCCCTGAGCAGGTGGAGGGCGGGTGCCACCCAGCCTGTCTCCCCTGCACAAACGGCCCCACCCCGGCTGTGAGGAGAGGAGAGGTCACAGGGGTCATCGGGATGGAGGTGCCGCCCGGCTGCGCCACTTGGCTGAGTCTGAGCCGGGCGGATTTCCTAAGACCCCGAGAAGTTTCCAGCCTCCCCTGACCCGGCTGGGTTGCAAAACAGCCTCCCTGGAGCCGGGGCGGGACGGGCTGGAGGCGGGAGGGGTTCGCTGCACCCCTGCGCTCCGCCACAGGGCTCGGCCCACACAGGGGGTCCAAGGCAGCGAGGCGGGGGCAGGGGGCCGGGCACTGCGAGGGTCCACACTTGGTGCGGGGGAAGCCCCCCACCCCTGCAGTCTGCCCCACACCCCTGCAACTGACCCCCCACACCCCTGCAGCCTGCCCCACTGTTCAGGGCTCAGCCCACAGTGTCTGCGTGTGTCTGGGTTTCAGGGAGGAAGAGACGCCCCATTCACGCCCAGCCCTGGCTCTAGGGGGCTAAGAATGTGCCCTGAGAGCCCCCCTGCCAGGTCACCTGCCTGCTGCAGGGACATCCAAGGAATGCCCCCCCTCCCACCGGCCACAGGGAGGCTGGCTGTGCCCTGAGCCCTGAGGATGGCTCTTGGGGGCTAAGAATGTGCCCTGAGAGCCCCCCTGCCAGGTCACCTGCCTGCTGCAGGGACATCCAAGGAATGCGTCCCCCCACCCCCCAGGACACAGGGAGGCCGGCTGTGCCCTGAGCCCTGAGGACATCACCTGCGGGGGCTGCCTCTGGGGAGGGGTGGGCCAGCCGTGGCTTCCAGAGGCCCAGACACATCCCGACCTGCCAGGACCCTGGTGGGGTCTCCACCCCCTGGCTCTGCACCCACCCCGTCCCCTCACCTGCACCCCTGCCCCCTCACCTCACACCCCTGCCTGCTCACAGCACTCCTGTCCCCTTACCCCCGTCCCTGCACCCACACACTGGCCCCTTCCCTGCCCCGTCCTGCAGAGAGTTCCAGGCCTTGGTGCACCTGGTGAAGGGCAACGTGGGCACCGGGATCCTGGGGCTGCCCCTGGCCATGAAGAACTCGGGCGTCCTGGTAAGATGGGGGAGGGGGGAGGGCACAGCCTACGGTCTAAGGGGCAGGGACGGACTTCCTGGGGGGGCAGCTTGTTGCAATGGAACCCCCAGTGCCCTCACCACCCCCTCCCCCACTCCCCTGCAGATGCCGTGTCTCACACACCCTCTCTCCCCTGCAGGTGGGCCCCATCAGCCTGCTGGCCATGGGCTTTGTGGCTACCTACTGCATGCACATCCTGGTCAGATGTGCCCAGCACCTGTGCCGCAAGTGAGGGGGGACCCCACATCCGCCGCCCAGCGGGAGGGAGGGGGTCGGCAGGGGTGGGGCCTTGGCCTACCCAGCTCCTGGTGGGCCCCTCTGTGTTCCGAGCGGACCCTGCCTGCCCCAGGGTCACTGTCCTGAGCGTCAGGCCCCTGGGGGTGCACAGCCAGGGCCAAACACACGCGTACACTCATGCTCACACACACACACACGCTCATACACAATACACTCAGAGACACTCTCGCACGCACACTCATGCACATACTCACACACGCACGCTCACATACTCATGCTCACACATGCACATGTTCACACACACATGCTCACACACACACGCACACACTCACACACATGCTCACATGCGCACACGCATGGCGCTCAAGCCCAGGCTCTGCTCTGTGCCTGGGTCAGCCAGGCAGCGAGGCCTTCTCGCGCTCAGCCCCGCCCATCCCAACCCTCCCGCAGACTCAACAAGCCCTTCCTGGACTATGGGGAGACAGTGAGACACAGCCTGGAGGCCAGTCCCAACGCCTGGCTGCGCAGACACGCACACTGGGGCAGGTATGCAGGGCAGGGATGCAAGTATGCAGAGGTGGGGCCGGCATGCACGGGGGGCAGGGGCGCGGGGCAGGGACACAGGGTGGGCCGGCACACACGGAGGCGCTTCAGGAGCAGGTGAGTCCTGGGCCAAGTTCCAGGGCCGTGACAGAGACAGGCTCCACATCTTCTCTCAGGACCACCGTCCCCCCAGCAAGCCTGCAGCTCCCTCCTGCCCTCCTCCTTCCTCCCCTGTCTGCCTTCCCCTCACGCCCCTGCTCAGCCTGGCTGTGGTCAGTGTCGTCTGTCTTTCGTGTCCCTGGGCCCGGCCCCCATTCCTCTCCCCTGCAGGGACGCGTGTGGCTTGGTGTCTGTGGGAGTGGCGGGTCCCTCCAAGCCTCAGGCTTCCCAGCCTGGTGACAGGGCGGTGGGGGTCCCAGCTGAACGGGGCTGGGCTAACCAGTGGCCACCCTCCCCCCAGGCGCACGATCATCTTCTTCCTGGTGGTCACCCAGCTGGGCTTTTGCTGTGTGTACATCGTGTTCCTGGCCGACAACCTGAAGCAGGTAGCACCAGCATCCTCGAGAGGGGAGGGGGGAGCCGGGGCCTGGGCTGGGCTTCTGTCCACCCCTGACGGGCTGCTCGGGCTCCTGAGGGCCCCGGGGTCTGCTCCAAAGCGCAAGGGAAGCAAAAATGCTGTTTCTAGAGCAAGGAAAGCAAAAATGCTGTTTCTAGAGACTCAGCCTCAGCTGCAGTGCAGGAAAGAGGCCGGGGCGGGGCGGGGCCTAGTGGGTGGGGCGGGGCCTAGTGGGGGCGGGGCTTAGAGGGAGGGGCGGGGCCTAGTGGGGCGAGGCGGAGCCTAGTGGAACAGGGCAGGGCTCAGTGGGCGGGCCTAGTGGGGAGGGGCGGGGCCGAGAGGGGCAGAGCTTGGTGGGTGGGGCTCAGTGGGCGGGGCCTAGTGGGTGGGGCGGGGACGGGCAGGGCGGAGCCTAGTGGAGCAGGGCGGAGCGGGGCTCAGTGGGCGGGCCTAGTGGGGCGGGGCCTGGTGGGGCAGAGCCAGGCTGACTGGACCCCCTTCCTGCACTGGCCCTCCAGAGGCAGACACCCACCCAGACAGTACCAGAGAGGGCCCTGCTTTGCACACGGCCGACCCGGGTTCCATGGCTGGAACCACACCTGGTCCCCTTGTCCCCACCAGGAGGGAGCCCTGATCTCTCCCGGGTGTGGGCCCTCAAAGCAAACACCACCCACCCACAGGTGCAGTCCCCACGGCCCAGGACCCCCTCCCACGAGGCTTCAGGCCCTAGGTCACCCCCGGGCCCTCTGAGAAAGCACAGGGTGGGATTCACGCAGAGGAGACACACAGGATGGTCAACACAGCTCTGCTGAGGACCCAGGGCAGCCCCCTGCCCCGCTGCCTGGGGTCCTGACCAGAACCGCCACACAAGGGACACGGGGGCAGCTGGACCCCCACTTGCACGGGGACGCGGGGGCAGCGCCCCGCACGTGCCCAGAGGTCCTGCTCTGCAGGTGGTGGAGGCGGCCAACAGCACGACGACCGACTGCGGGGCCGGGCATGCGGCTGAGCTGGTGCCCACGGTGGACTCACGCCTCTACATGCTGGGCCTGCTGCCTGTGCTGGGCCTGCTGGCGATGTTCCGGAACCTGCGCGTGCTGACGGTGCTCTCGCTGCTGGCCAACGCCAGCATGCTGGTCAGCCTGGCCATCCTGACCCAGTACATCGTGCAGGTGGGTGACCCGCCACGGGCAGGCCAGAGCCGTGGCTACGCACCCTCCTGCCCGCCCTCAAAGCCCGGCCTGGCGCTTATGTCTATGGGGGCCATCCCTGAGCGGAGTCGAGGCGCAAACCTGGGCCCAGTAGGACCAGGCCATCCGGCGGGCCCCAATCCTGCCTTCTCCAGGCAAAGGAACCCCACCTACTGTCCAGAGCCCCCAGTGACCAAGGACTGGCCCTCGAGGCCCCCGCAGAGGAGAAAACAGGCCCAGGTCCCCCGGGCCCCTCAAAGCCCAGCTCCAGGCCTGCCCCCCACTTCCTCCAGACCCCTCACGGCCCAGCCCTGGGCTGCCCCCGGCTCCCTCGGACCCCTCTCACACGCTGACCTTTACACAGACAAGCCTCATCGAAGAGCAGCACAGGGCCCCTACCCATGCTGGGCCGAGTTCATGCCCCAGCCCCACCAGGTATGACCCCCAAATCCTGAGTGTCCAGCCCAAGCACTCAGGCACTCAGTGGCCCTGGGGCCCCACCAGCCTGTGCGCCTGGCCGTGACTCCACGTCGGGGTCCGACGGCCTGAGGAGCGAGGCCCCTCCACAGAGGGCCGGACTCAGACTGCAGGCCACTGGCACAGGAGGTCACCCCACACCCCAGCCTGCCATCCCCCTTCACGGGGGTCAGAGCAGGGGGCTGCCTCGGGCTCCGGGGGGGCAGCCCTCGCTCGAAGGATCCCGGGGTGCCCACTCGACTCCCTCAGCTCACGACACTCTCTCGGGGATTCTGGCAGCAGTCAGTGCCCGCGTGCACACAGCCTGCCGGTTTCCACCTGGCTCCCATGTGGAATCAGCCCTGACACCAGCAGGGTGGCCCGAGACAAAGCCCCGGGGACTGTGGCCCCTCTCCCAGACGGGGTCCCGTGTCTCTCCCCCACAGGAAATCCCAGATCCCAGCCGGCTGCCACTAGGGTCCAGCTGGAGGACGTACCCGCTCTTCTTCGGCACGGCCGTGTTCTCCTTCGAGAGCATTGGCATGGTGAGTGCTGGGCGCACTGCTGGGTCCCCACTCCCCGCGGGGCTAGGGGTCCCGTCCTCACCATCCCCCTGCTGAGCCCCCCTGCCCACAGGTGCTGCCCCTGGAGAACAAGATGAAGGACGCCCGCCGCTTCCCGACCATCCTGTCGCTGGGCATGGCCCTGGTCACTATCCTCTACACACTAGTGGCCGTGCTGGGCTACCTGCGCTTTGGGGATGAGATCGAGGCCAGCATCACCCTGAACCTGCCTAACTGCTGGTGAGGGCGGGCACGTCCCCCAGGGAAGGGGGCCGTGGGGACTCCGGCCAGCCTCAAGGTCAGCTCAGACAGAATCAGAGCAGGCCTTGGACACTGGGGGTCCAGGCAGCCCCATCTCTGAGGCCGCATCACCCACCAGCTCCAACCCCAGAGGATCGAACGGCAGCACCCAGGGTCAAGGGCCCGTCACCCCCCAGCTCCCTAGCACCCCATCATCCCCCCGTCCCCATCACCCCCCTGTCCCCGTCATGCCTGCTCGTCCACTGTCCAGTATCTTGCCCTGGTCCCCAGCACGGCTTCCGTCCCCGCCACACTCCTGGATCTGCAGTCACCCCTGGCCTCACCCCGCCTGGGGACAGACCCACCAGGTGGGCTGAAAGTAGTTTGGGGTGCAGGAGTCCTGGGAGGCACCCTGGGGCCCCTGTACCTGCCCTGCCTGAGCTTGCTCTGCTCACAGGCTGTACCAGTCTGTGCGCGTCCTCTTTGTCCTGGGCATCCTCTGCTCCTACGCGCTGCAGCTCTACGTCCCTGCCGAGATCATCGTCCCCTGGGCGCTGGCCCGGGTGCCCGAGCGCTGGGCCCTGCTGCTGGACCTGGGCATCCGCCTGGCCATGGTGGGCCTGACGGGTGAGTGCTGGGGGCAGGGGCCACTCAGGGGGACCCGCGATCCAGGCCGGAAGGGAGCTGCCTGTATGCAGCCTGTGACGACCCAGGAGCAGGACAGACTTCTGGACACCCCCGGGCAGGGCCACCTCGGGGCTCCATTCAGTGATGCTGGCGACAGGAAGGGACCGGGGAGGGCCTGCCCATGTGTCCCTGGACTCCCGTCCCCGGGCGCCCCTCAGGGCCCCTGCACTGCGTCTCCATGTGGACATCCTGGGCCGGCTGCCCTCCCGGAGGGCACAAGGCACAGACTGGGAGGGGGGCTAAGGATCAGTCCGGCTGGACAAGTAAGGGCAGGAAGCCAGCGGCAGGCCTCTGCTCCTGTCCACACAGCCCCGCACCCCCTTTCCAGCACCACGTGACAGTCGCACCCGCTTGTTTGCGAAACCCCTAACCCCCGGCTGCGGTGGCATGGCAGTAACAGGCAGTCACCTGCCACTTCTGAAGGCCATGGAGGGCGCCCCGAGAGGTGCCGCGGGGCGGGCACCTCGGCCTTTCTCTCCCCCACACTTGGGTCCCCTCCTCCCCGGCTCCAGGGGAGAAATTCCAGCCTGTGCCCTGCCCCCCACACGCCTGGTGCAAATCTCCCTGGCGAGGGGACCCGAGGGATAGCACAGCAGGGGAGGGCACTTGCCTTGTGCGCAGCCGACCAGGGTTCGATTCCCAGCATCCCATATGGTCGCCGGAGCACCGCCAGGAGTAATTCCTGAGTGCAGAGCCACGAGTGAGCATCGCTGGGTGTGATCCAAAAAGCAAAAAAAAAAAAATCTCCCAGGCGAGTTCCCTGCTCAGCTGCAGCTCGGCCCCGCCCAGGCATAGGCCCCGCCCAGATAGAGGCCCCGCCCCAGGGAAACTCCGCCCAGACAGAGGCCCCACCCCGGAAAAGCTCCGCCCTGGCCTAGGCCCCGCCCCGGGAAACCCTGCCCAGAAAGAGGCCCCGCCCCAGCAAAGCTCCGCCCCGGAAAAGCCCCGCCCAGATAGAGGCCCCGCCCCAGGAAAACTCCGCCCAGCCCTAGGCCCCGCCCCAGAAAAGCTGCCCAGACACAGGCCCCGCCCAGGCATAAGCCCCACCCCGTCAAGGCCCCGCCCAGGAACCCACGTCCTGTGGGCAAGTCTGGAGCACGTGCGCACAGGGATACCCACAGAGACCTGGGCATCAAGTGCCCCTCCCAATGGTACCGCTGCCCTGCAGCGGGCAGCTGGCATCCGCAGGAGCTGGAGCCATCGAGTCGGGGGGTCTTTTGTGGGAGGAAGCAGGACCCTCTGCAAGATCCAGTCCAGTGTCCCTTCCCGGGCAGCCGGCTGCTCCCCCCCCCACCCCTGCAGGGCATGGCCGGGCATCAGGGCATTCATGGGCCCTCCTGAGCCGCCCGCCAGTACGCTCCCCCCCTGAGCCCCGAGGGTGGGTGGTCAGTCAGCACAGGAGGTCACACTCACCCCGGGAGCCAACGGGAGCCAACCTTGGGCCCCGGGACAGGTTCTGTAGATCGGCCTCATGCTGGGGTCCACGTGAGTTTCCTGTGGGATCTGGGCTGACCCGTCTCTCCCGCAGGCGTCCTGGCCGTCCTCATCCCCCGCCTGGACCTGGTCCTGGCCCTGGTGGGCTCAGTGAGCAGCAGCGCCCTGGCTCTCATCATCCCGCCCCTGCTGGAGGTGGTCACCTTCTCTGCGGAGGGCCTGAGCCCCCTCACGCTCGCCAAGGACGCCCTCATCAGCCTCCTGGGCCTCCTGGGCTTCGTGGTGGGCACCTACCAGTCGCTGGACGAGCTCCTCCGGCCGGAAATCCCCCACTCCTCTACCAATTCCACTGCCCTGATGCATTGAGACCCCGGGACCCCCACAGCCCCACACGGCAGACCCCTCAGAAGAGCCTCCTGTGCTTTGGCCCCGTCCAGGAGGAGCTGGGACTTGTCCCCACACCTGTGCCTCCCCCTGGGGCCACAAGAGCCCCTGGATTCTGTGGGACTTGGGGCCCGGCATCGTCAACACTGACCCCGAGGTGGCCATCGGCCAGGGGGCACGCACGGCTTCCCCTCACTAAGAGGACAGTGCGGGCAGCAGACCATGAGGGTCTATGGGCGGTTCTGGGAGTCAGCCACAGAGAAGGGGCTCAGGGACTCAGCTCTGCCCAGTGGCTGGGAGAGGTCACTGCTGATGACCGAGGCTCAGGGGCCGCCCAAGACTCCGGGGAGTGGACCTGCAGGTCGGGCCCACGCCATCCCCAAAGCTCCTTCTGCGGAGGCAAAACAGCCTCAAGGGATCCTGGTGGGGAGACGGGACCCCCCAGCCAGCCCCACGCCCACTGGTCTGCTGGTTTACAGAGTGTCCGAGGGGCCTGGAGCCCACCACGAGGGAATAAAGCGCCGGGTCGGAGGTGGGTTCTGTGTTGTGACGGTGCCATCCACGCTCATGCAGCGCCCCTCCCCCCAGACCTGGAAAAGCCACCACACACCCCGGGAACACCCAGGAAACGCCGCCTGCCCCCCACAGCGCCCCCAGAAATGCTGTGCGCCCCCACCCCGCATACGCCGCCCGCCCGCAGGGCGCTGAGTCCTACAGAGACCCTCCCGCTCACCACACCTGTTCAGACACGGGGCGTGTCCGGAGCCCTCTGGCTGCCACGCTCGGAGGACGCCCACTCCACACCGTGTAGTGTCCCCAGCGCAAGCAGGGAGCCGGGCTCCAGCGCAGATGAGAAGGCGGCGGGCCCCTCCACGGAGGGCAGGGACGGTGTGTGCAGAGCCCTCCCACCACCCCAGGGGACATAGCACCCCAAGTGTGGCAGGAGTTGCCCCCCAACTCGGGTGAGAAGCAGCAGGACCCAAATCAGGAAGGGCAGGAGGGGAGGGGCGGGCTACCCCTGCACGGCAGGCAGTGTGGCCGCACTTCAGTGTGCCAGTGTGGGGCGGGCCAGGGACCCCCACAGTTCCACAAGTGTCCCAGGAGCAGGGGTTTGGGGACGCAGCACGTCCAACACCGAGAAAGGCGGAAAGGAGAGGGGGCGGTCTGCAGGGTCATATGGTTGGGACTCCACACCCTCCGCCTTCCCCTCAGACCGCGGGGTGGGTGAATCCAATACACCAACTGGGGCACAACCTACCCAGCCAACCCACAACCAAGAAACTGAAAGAATGAATGTGAGTGAATTAGTGAGAAAACGAATGAATGAATGAATGCAGAAGTGAGTGAATTAATGACTGAGCTAGCCAGTGAATATGTCAGTGAATGGCTGAAAAGTGAATGAATGAGTGAGTGAGGGAGTAAATGAGGGAGTGGGTTCCCGGTTGAAGAAGTGTGAGAGGGGGCGAGTGAGTGAGTGTAGATGAATGAAATCTGAGTGTGAACAGTGCGGGAGGGAACAAGTGATTATGTGGGTGAGTCAACGAATGAATGCATGAATGACTAGTGAGTGGACGTGCAAGTGTGGGTGTGTGAGCCAGTGTGACAGGGTGTGTGTGTGAGTGACATGGTGCATGTGTCAATGAGCGAGCGGGTGTGAGAGGATGTGTGGAAGCGTGAGTGTGCAGTGAGGCCGCCCGGAGAGGCGAGGGGACAGCTTTGCCCTTTGTCGTGGACTAGACATTCCTGCCCGTGAATGCTGGGCGTTTCCCGGGGAGGCAAGAGGTCAGCCTCCGCGCTGGCCTGAAAGCGCCAGTGTCATGGGACTGGGGGTGGGGTGGGCGTGCAGCAGCGGCTACAGTACAGCTGGACACACAGGGCGGGTGGGCAGGAGGAACCTTCCAGATTGAGGCGGGCAGGCACAACAGCGCCCCCTGCTGGCCTCTCCCGGCTGCTCAGCGTCTGAGCCCCTTGCCTCCTCCCAGGGCCCCCAGCTGAACCTGGTACGGCAGTGGGGTGGGCTGAGACCACCTGTGTCCTGGTCAGCACGTGGCGAGTGTCCATGCAGCCCTGTGGAGCCTCAGGACCCCTTGCGTGCCCGGCCCCATGCCCTGTCTGCGGCCCCTAGGGGCCACACGCACACACCCACCCACGGGCTCCCACAGGGCCTCCTTTGAGGCTCTCGGCCCTGCTGAGTCTAGGGGACTTTCCCGACAGCCCCGCACCTGGACACGGATGCCAGCTGCAGGGGGCTGGGACTGCCTGGCCAGGACCCAGGCGGGGGGACACCGTCCTCACTGGGACTTGCTCTGGGGGCCAGGGCTGTTTCCCGAGGACCAGCTGCGCCCACGGCTCCCAGGCAGCCAGACAATGGGCGCTCTGTGTCTCAGACGCCTGGGCTGCTCGCAACAGGGACACCCAGAAAGCAGCGAGGGGCAGGCAGAGCCCCCCCACCCCAGCCATGGACCCACCGTCCTCCCCGTAGACTCACTGTCCTCCCCCGCACCCACCGTCTCACCCTCAGATCCCCACTTCCCTCCCACCCAGCTGCACCCTGCGACTCGGCCGCAGGCAGCCTTACCATCCTGCCCAGGCAGAGACTGGCCAACCTACCCTCGACCAGCTCCCCTGGCGGGCTTCGAGGACGTTGTGGGGTGCTGGGATCAGGCCTGGCTTGGCCCCGTGCGCGGCAAGCACCCTCCCTGTGGTACTCCAGCTCTGGCCCAAGCCCCGAGTTCCCAGCTGGAGGCCTGCCCCGCCTGTGGGCTAACACACATGCAGCGCTCACCCAGCAGTGCCACCCGTAGCTGTCCAGGATGTGGCCGGAGCACTGTAGGCTGTGGGTGCTGTGGCCTGGGCTGTGGCCATGGGGCGCCCCAGCCTCACGGCACCCCGGGCCGTGCCCCCAGCCTTGGTGCTCCGAGCTGTGCCCATGAGGCTGCCCTTCACCACCAGCTCCAGCTCCGTGTCCCATTGTGGCCCAGGTGGCCGAGAGCGGGGCTTATTCTGCCAACTGGCCTTCAACCGAAAGCAGATCCTGGGAGCAGCATCCCCAAACCCCACCCCAGGGCTCCGCCATCAGTCGCCCGCACCCAGGACCCGGGCCAGCCCCTCCCCATCCCAGACCTCCACTGTCTCTGAAAGAGGCCACAGCAGTGTCAGAGAGGCACCGTGGGAGCATCTGGGTGGGTCTGCAGGGGAGAAGTATCCCCCCATCCCTTATACAGACACACAGAGACACGCACACACAGACACACATGCACAGACATACAGACACACACAGACACACATGCACATGCACAGACATACAGACACACACGCACACACACAGACATACACACACAGACACACACGCACATGCACACAGACATACAGACACACAGACAAACGCACGTGCTCGGGCACTGCCCAGCCCTCACCAGCCACCAACCGTGGGCCCTGGGGCAGGGGTCCAGCTACCCAGAAGTGGTCGCTGCTCCGTCCTGGGGGCCCAGCAGGAGCGGAGCTCCAGGAGCCAACCCTGGTTCCTGGCAGCACTTGGACCCGTCTCCCTGGCCTCCCACCCACAGGGACGGCAGGGGGACATGGGGGTCCCCACCAGCCAACGGGCTCTTCTGGGAGGCACAGGGGAGGGCAGGGCCCTGGGGCAGCGTCACTCAGCCCCCGGAGGCCACGCAGGGGAGATGGGCAGCCCCACACAGCCACATAAAGGAGGAACAAAGGAGCCACAAGCCCCAGAACGAGTCTCGCACCCACAGACGCCCCGTTTCCAGCGTTCCTAAGAGAATGGAAAAGTCTTGGGAACTCAGGTCGGCAAAAGCAGCATGTGGGGGCTGGGGCAGGTGGGCGCCATCCCGGTGATGTTCAGGGCTGTTCCCTGGGGGTCCACCCACAGGCAAGGCGACTGTCCAGCCCCCAGACCATCTGCAGCGCCCCGGCCAAAACAGGACAAAGGGCTGGCGAGATGGTCCCAGGTGTGAGACCCCTGCCTGGCCCGGGTCTGCCCCCAGTCCCCTCCTCCAGCCTGGAAGCCCCTCCAGGAGTGAGCCCTGAGCCCCTAGCGGGGCCCGGAGCCAAGAGGGGCTCGGTGGACCGAGGACCTGCTCCACATGCAGGGGCCCGGCTGGACCCCGAGCTGGGAGACACCTGAGCACGGCCAGGTGTGGACCGATCCCAGCAGGAAGCCGGGCGTGGCGGAAGCAGGAGGGTGTAGCCCTGGGAACGCCGAGGGCTGACCCGCACCACAGCCCAGCCCCAGCTGGATGGACAGAAGACGTGGACGTTTCCGGAAGGGAGGCACCGGCGCTAAGCACTGATGACGGATGGACGCCTGGCTGGTGATTAGGGCCGAGACCCTGCCCGAGGCTCTTGACTGCTCTGTGCCCAGGTGCGAGTCCCCAGAAGTGCCCACTCGCTCGCACACACGGCCAGCCCAGCGCCCCGGGGTCCTTTCTACTCTCTGGACACCCACCACCCTCCACCCTCCACCCTCTAACCCCTTCACCCACACCCCGCCCAGCCACGCTCCCTAGTGACCCCAGGGGCCAAGTCCACAGGGGCCTCGGTCCCGTCCACCCATCTGCGTCGCGTCCTCACGTGGGACCCACACGTGGAGTCGCTCAGCGTTTGCCTTTCTCCTTGGGTCTCGCTTCGTGTGGTCCGAGAGCCCACGGCACGGCTGTTAGCTCAGGAGCGGCCGGTATTCCGCGGTGCCCAGACCACGCGCTGGGTCCTTGCCTGTCCACGGTGGGCACTCAGGGCTGCCCCTTCACCTCCGCCGTCAGCCCTGCGATGTGTCTGACTCTCCAGTGGGTTCGGGCCCCCCTGGGAAGACGGTGGTGGCTTGCGGGCATGCAGGTCGGAGAGCGTCTGCACAGCCGGCCACATCCCCGCAGCAAGAGGTCATGCCTGGGGCACCATTCGCCCTGTGAGAAGGCGTGGAGGAGCCCCTCGTGGACAGGAAGTCTGGGTCGGGGGTCTGGGATCAGCGTGGACGCAAGAACCGAGAAGCAGAGTATCGGGAGGCGGAGAGTCCCGTGAAAGCTCCCGGCCTCCACGGCAGAAGGTTCTGGGGCATCCCAAGCCCCCAAGAGAGCCGCCCGGGGTGGCCAAGGCCAGCGTCCGCCCCTCGGCCCCAGCCCTGCACAGGACAGTGCAACAGGACAAACGGCAAGACATGGCCAGATGCGGCCTGAGGCCACACGCGGCACCCCGCGGCCCCGCCCGCCCCTGCTCCCCCGCCCGGGCCCCACCGTGGCCTTGCCCTGGCCCCCGACACAACCCCAAGGGCCCCGCTGGGCAACACAGGGCCAGTGTCCACTCTGCCCGGGACCACAGAAACACACCCGCAGCCAAGGCCCCTCCTGACCACACCCGGCAGACCCCACCCCACACTCACGCCAAGGGCCGCACCCCCTCGGCTCCTGGAGCTTGAGCCCACGGACACCCGTGACCTCTGACACTGCTCCCATGAATGCCCCATGACCTCGGACACCCACTCCCATGAATACCTCATGACCTCGGACACCCACTCCTCCCGCGGCCACCCCGTGACACTTCCCCAGGTCTGAAGGCAGAAGTCTCTCAGGCACCGGGAAAGCCCAGCCCAGCACCAGGCCCGGCCACAGCCTCTGAGCCCCCATGTGGACCCTCAGACCCTCCCCGTGGCCACAGGCCACCCGTGTGCTGCAGCGGGTCCCAGCCTGAGCCCTGCCAGCTCTCTGGTACCACCACCACCACCACCGGCAACCGTTTGTCTGCGGTCACTTCCTCAGCACAGGCCCAGAATATGCAGGAGAGTCACTCCAGGATGGGCACCAGGACAGAAGCCGGGGACAAGGCCGGGGACCCGGGATAGGACTTGGGTTCAAAGATGGGACTTAGGGATGAGGCCAGGGACCCGGGGACAGGACTCAGGGAAGGGACGTGCAAACACGGCCAGGGGTGGGGCAGGAGGAGGAAGGGCAGGGAGTGGACAGTCGGCTCTAAAGGGACAGCAGCAACGTCCCCTCCCTCGCTGAGGCATGTGGCGAAGGGACAGCAGGCGGGGGGGCTGGGCAGAGTCTTTATTGTCACCGCACGACCGGCTGCTCCTGGCACCACCGTCTGGGAGGGAGACTGGACTGGCCCCAGGCAAGGCCACCTGGACCCGAACCCCACCTGGGACAGCCCCTGGGTGGGCCACCGCAAGAGTGTCCTGTGCAGGGCACCCGGGAGGGACGGTGAGAGCAGCGCCCACCCTGCGGGGGACACCGGGGGAAGAAACGGTACTTCCCAGGGCACTGCCATGTCCCCGGGAGCAGGAAGTCCTGTCTGTGTCTGTGGGGCTCAGCCTGGCAGCGCTGGTCACTGAAGAGACCACGTGGCCCCCAGTGGTCACCCCAGCACATGACACAAACCACGTGCACGGGAGAGGGACGGGAAGGCCCCCGACGTAGCCCCTGAGCCCCACTCAGCTCCGCGAGGACAAAGCCCAGCAGTCCCACATGGCCACTTGAGCAGCCCGGCCGAGGGCATCACCCAGGGACACGGGCACACGGAGGAATGAGGGTGCAGGGACGCGGGCTGCAGGGAGGCAAGGACACAGCAGCACGGGGACATAGGGACACGGGGACATGGGACGCAGGGAGACGGAGACGCAGGGACACGGGACACAGGGACAGACACGGGGACACGCACGCAGGGACGCAGGGACAGGCGTTTCCGCACCCCCAGGGCAGTCACCCAGGCGGCGGGCGGGCGAGGGGCGGGCAGTGCAGGGACACTGGGCCCACAGGGGGCAGCAGCCCCGGGTCCCTCCTGGCTCTGGGAGGCAGCGAAGGGCTTGGGAGGTCAGTGGGGGCAGCAGGGCGACGCCGAGGGCCAGGGCCGAGCCCCCCGTGCGCCTGACCAGCCCCTCAGCGGCCCTTCAGGGCGGCGGCCAGCTTGAGGCAGCCCAGCCGCTGGCCATCGCGGCTCAGTGCGCCCTGCACGCGGTAGTGGCCGTTGCTGAGCCAGCCGGGCAGCTCCAGGTCGGGCAGCGGGAAGTCGCTCCGGGGCAGCGTGTAGGTGCCCTGTGGGGAGGCGGGTCGCAGGGTCAGCGGGGTCAGGGGTTGGCAGGAGCCCAACTGCCCCCACCCGGCCGCGCCGGAGACTCACGGCTTTCACGGGGCAGTGGCAGGGCAGCCCGTAGGTGCGCAGTGGCTCAGGGCATGGCTGCCCGGGGGGCACGAGCATGGCCAGCGTGTTGCACACGTCCTCGTAGGTGCAGCTGCCCAGCTGCTCCACACATGGGATCTTCACCCAGAAGCCGGCCACCTCCTTCTCCACGGTCAGCTCCAGCTGCGGCAAGGGGACAGCGTCAGGTGGGCCCCCGTCAGCCCCCCACTGGACAGACACGGCCAGCCATGCTCAGCAAGGGGCCAAGAGGCTGGAGGGAGCCAGAGGAGGGGGGACGCGGGCAGCGTCCAAGGCACTCACATGGCCAGTCAGAGTGTGTGCGTGCGTGCGTGTGTGTGTCTCTGTCATTTTGTGTCTGTGTGTCTGTGTATGTTTGCATGTCTGTGTGTGTCTCTGTGTGTCCCTGTGTATCTGCGTGTGCCTGTGTTTCCATGTATGTCTTTGTGTCTGTGTCTGCGTATGTCTATGTGCCTGTGTGTGTCTGCGCATCTGTGTCTGCATGTCTCTGCGTGTGTCTGTGTGTCTGTGTATGTCTGTGTATGTCTTTGTGCAACTGCATGTGTCTGTGTGTCCGCAGGTCTCCGTGTGACTGTATGTGTCTGTGTGTCTGCATGTCTGTCTGTGTCTGCGTGTCTGTGTGCGTCTCAGTGTGTCTGTGTCTCTGTGTGTCCCTATGTGTCTGCGTGTGCCTGTGTGTGTCTGTGAGTGTATGTCTCTGTGTGTCTGTGTGTGTCTGCGCACCTGTGTATGCCTCTGTGTCTGTGTCTCTGTGTGTCCCTATGTGTCTGCGTGTGTCTGTGTGTCTGTGTATGTCTTTGTGTGTCTGCATGTGCCTGTGTGTCTGTGTGTGTCTGCATGTATCTGCGTGTGTCTGTGTGTGTCTCAGTGTGTCTGTGTCTCTGTGTGTCCCTATGTGTCTGCGTGTGTCTGTGTGTGTCTGTGAGTGTATGTCTCTGTGTGTCTGTGTGTGTCTGTGCACCTGTGTATGCCTGTGTGTCTGTGTCTCTGTGTGTCCCTATGTGTTCGTGTGTGTCTATGTGTCTGTGTCTGTGTGTGTGTCTGTGTGTATCCGTGTGTGTCTGTGTGTGTCCGTGTGTCTGTGTGTGTCTGTGTGTGCCCCAGGACCTTACACTAACGGGTCCACACCCACCACTGAGCCACATCCTGCCCAGATGAGGTGCTGCAGAGTCCGGAGGCCCCAGGAAGTGAGGCATCTTCGAGGGAAGGATGCGCCCAAGCAGACAGGACAGGCAGAGAAGGTGCCTACGCACGCCTTGGATGGACAAGGCCCTCCCCGCAGGCCGGGGATGCAAGACGGGAAACCAGCAGTGAAGCGAACAGGGAGAGCACCCACCCAGCTCCAGGGCGGCACGGCACACACGCGCGCACACACACGCAAAGACACACACATACACACACACATGCACACACAATCACACACACAGACACGCACACACACGCACTCACGGACATGCAAGCACACACATGCACACTCATGCACACACACGCGCACACACACGCAGCACACACACGCATGCACACAGGGGCAGCTCTGCTGCGGCCACAGGCAGGGACGCAGTTCCCCTCAGAGACAGCGTCCGCCACCAGGAAACCCTGAAGGTGCACGGGAAAGACACCCGTGCAGGGGCGCTGCAGTGAGCCCAAACTCCACTGCAGCCATCCAGGGGCACAACGAAGGGCGCTCGGGGGCACCAGCAACACCAGAGCCTGGCAGGCAGCTGGAACGCCCGGGAGGGGCGCAGGCATGCACACACGCAGGCACACACACATGTAGGCACACACAGGCAGACACGCATACAGGTCAGCACACCAATGCGTGCTCAGAGACACGCAGAGAGGGGCGGGCTGCAGAGCAGCTGGGCTGCCGCGCGGCCCCATCAGGCTCCTCTGTGTGCAGACAGCGGCAGAGCACGGGAGATGGGTCCAGAGAACTGCCCTGCCCGCCCCATGGTATGACCTCAGTGACCAGCCCCCTTGACCTTTAGTCTAAATCCAGTTTCATAAGCTGGGGTCATGACCCCAGGCGGGCTGGTGACTTGGGAAAGCTGCCGGGGATGAGTTTCAGCATCACCGGACCCTGACACACCCTGCGGCCGGGGGGCACGTGGTGGAGGACTCAGGTGATGTTGAAGGGCGTGGCCCCCAACCCGCCCCAAGCCCCCTGGAGTGCGTGAGGCAGGACCCGGGCGCCACTGTCCATCACCCACTGTCCCCTCCGCCCGGCCCGGCCCCCACCTCACCTTCAGTGGGCTGCTGAGGGCCACTGCGGTCTTGGTGTCCACGCTGATGGTCACGTTCCCGGGCACGGCGATGGGGTCGGGCTCCAGAGTCAGGCTCCTGACCACGGCGGGGTCCTTCCCCCCGTCACAGTTATCCCAGGAGAAGCCGCTGAACTGGAAGGCAGGAACCCGTGAGCATGTGCCGGGGGTTGGGGGGGGCCGGGCAAGGCTAAAGTTGCCTGATGCCCCCGGGCCCCCACCTCCAACACCCCCTGACCCGACGCCTGTCGCACACTGGGCCCCGCGCCTCTAACCCACACCTGTGCCATGAACCCCGGCTGTCCCCGTCCCTCCCACATCACAGCTCAGAGCTGCCATCCAGCTGAGGGCTGGGCTGCACCCCCCGACCCCGGCCACGCCAGCGCCTTCCCATCTTCTCCCTGGAGAGAAGCTCCCGGAAGGCCCAGGAACTTGGGCCACCCCAGGGCCAGGACGATCGGGTGACCCAGACACCGAGGGAACCACAGCTGGGCCCTGCCCCCAGGCATGGAGAGCTACGCAGGCACCAGGCCCAGAGCGGCCGTGAGCTGGCCCGCCAGCAAACGCCTGCCGCCCCACCCACAGACCCCACGAGACACTCCCCACCCCCACTCCCTAATGACCCTCCACGGCACCGTGCCTCAGCGGGTCCTGCCTGGGCCTGTCCCGGTCACCCTCCCCCTCACCCACCTGCCCCCGAGCAGACACTGCAGGTCGCCACAGGGCGCGGGCGCCAGGCACGGCAGGGGCCTGACTGGGCACAGGCCAAGACCAAGCCGGGCAGCCAGAGTTCCGGGAACCCTGAGAGCCAGGCACGGGGCCGCCCCAGGGGTGACATGCCTGCACGGTCACAGCAGGACGGAAAACCCACACGATCCCCTGGGCCTCCCACTCCCCTCCTGGCCTGCGGTCGGAGGCCCACATCTGCCCAGCCACCGCAGGCCGGAACCCACCACGTCCACACCTGCGCCCTCACACACCTGCGTTCCCACGCCTGTCCTGACACATCTGGACTCCCACACCTGTCCCGACACACCTGCTCCTGACACACCTGCATTTCCACCCCTCATCCTCACACACCTGGCCCTGACACACCTGTTCCTGACACACCTGCATTTCCACCCCTCATCCTCACACACCTGGCCCTGACACACCTGCTCCTGCCACACCTACATTCCCACATCTGGTCCTCACATTTCTACTCCTGCATCCTCACACACCTGGCCCTGACATACCTGCTCCTGCCACACCTGCATTCCCACCCCTCATCCTCACACACCTGGCCCTGACACACCTGCTCCTGACACACCTGCATTCCCACACCTGTCCTGACACATCTGGACTCCCACACCTGTCCCGACACACCTGCATCCTCACACACCTGCATTCCCACCCCTCATCCTCACACACCTGGCCCTGACACACCTGCTCCTGACACACCTGCATTCCCACCCCTCATCCTCACACACCTGGCCCTGACACACCTGCTCCTGACACACCTGCATTCCCACACCTGGTCCTCACATTTCTACTCCTGCATCCTCACACACCTGCATCTTTACACACCTGCATTCCCACACCTGCATCCTCACATGCCTGCATCCTCACACACCTGGTCCGGACACACCTGGTCCTGACACACCTGGTCCTGACACCTGGTCCGGACACACCTGGTCCACACCTGCATTCCTACACATGCTTCCCACATCTGGACTCCGACACCTACGTCCTCACACACCTGCGTTCCCACACCTGGTCCTCACACACCTGGACTCCCACACCTGCATCCTCACACACCTGCATTCCCACACCTGTGTCATCACACACCTTCGCTCATCTCTGCACCCAGCTTCCTGGGACAGCCCGGGAAGGCGGCTCCGGGAGCCGGCAGGACAGGGTGCGGCTCCCCGGCACTCCCCGGCCCCTCGCTCAGGTGGGAGCTTCCCCACTCGCTCCACAGGTATTTATGGAGCAATGCGCCCGGGCACTGCCCTGCGTGCTGCGCTGGCACTGAGCTCACCGCGTGGGCGCAGCCTCGCATGGCCCGAGAGAGCGGTGAGAACATGGACAGCCCCCCAGCACTTCCTGCCGCGTATGAGAAGCGATACCCAAGGACACGCATCAGGAAAGAATGTTCCGGAGACAGGCAGGGCCAGAGGGTTGGGGAAAATCCGCTGCACCCAGGCTGGGGGGCGGGTGAGGGGGATGGTCAGACTGAGGGCGGGGGGCTCTGTCCAGGGAGGGAGGAGCACAGGGGGCAGCATCGGGGCTCGGAGCGGGTTCCCAGCCAGCAGCAGCAGAGAGGGCGAGCGGGCCGCGGTGTCCGCGGAGAGCAGGCCAGGCCAGCGGATGTGCGCATGGGCAGCAGGCGTGAGGGTGTGCAGCTCTGGGGGTGACAGGCGAGAGAGATGGGGGTCCCCAAGACGGCCGAGCCCCCGGGTGAGAGGGAGATGTGAGCAGGCACAGGGCCGCGAGGAACAGGAGGAAGCTCCGAGGAGCCACGGAACCCCAGCCAAGCATGGCGCCGGGGGCCCCCACCCTGGGCACAGTGCCCCCACGAGCCTGTGAATCCGAACTGACCGCCCCGAGAGTGTGCCCCGCGCCCGCTCTCACCCGGACAGCAGTGGGTACCCCACACCACCCCCGGAGCCTGCCCCTCTCCCCCTGCCGACCGCACCCGGGACAGCCAGTCAACAGGGAAGAGGAACTGGAACTCCCCTGGGCTGCGGGGGGGCTCGGATGGCGCCCACCCTCTCCTCTCTGGGCCAGCCCCAGGCTGGGACCTGCAGCCTGGCCCCCTCACTGGGTCACCCCGCGGGCTATCCCAGGGCAACGGGGGGTTTCCCGCAGGCCAGCGGGATCAAGCCCACCGGCAGCCAGTCTCGCCAGCCGGGATGGCCTGTGCCCCTCACCCACGGCCTACAGCGCGCCCCAGCCGGCCGTGTCCACGGTCCCTAACCGCTCCTCCAGGGGAGCGGGTGCTCCCCGCGCTCTCGGCATCTCCCACCGCCCTCCGTCGGCCCTGGGGGCCTGGGTGGACCCGCGCCCGGTCATCTCCAGCCCCTGCACCGGGCAGCAGCGAAGCCGCCTCGCGGGAGCAGCGCTGGGAGCGCAGACTCGACCCGGAGTTCCGGGAGCCCGGAGAGCTCTCGGCGCCCCGAGCTCGTGCCCCGCGCCCCGCCGCCCCTTGCACCCTGCCCCGCTGCCCGCGTCCCTGCAACCCGCCCCGCACCCCTGCGCCCCTGCGCCCCTGCGCTCGCAGCCCGCCCCGCGCACCTGCAGCCCGCTGGCCGCACCCCACCACGCGCACCTGCACCCCGCCGCCCCATACCCCGCCGCCCCGTGCACCCCGCCGCCGCCCGCACGCCCGCCCCGCGCCCCTGCACCCCGCAGCCCCCAGTCCCCGCCGGACCCTGCACCCGCGCCCCTGCACCGCGGCCCCGGCGCCCCGCAGCCCGCACCCAGTGACCCCCGCCCCGCAGGCGCTCACCGGGCGCGGGGCCCGGGCGGCGGCGGGGCCGAGCAGCAGGCCGAGGAGCAGGAGCGCGGCCCGCAGCGGGGAATGCATGGCGGAGCGCTCGGGAGTGGGATCGGTCACGCGGCGCCGTCGGTGCGTGGTGCCCGCCGTGCGGATCTGAGGTCTGGCCCGGCCGGGTCGGAGCCTCGCCTCGCCCCGCCTCCGGCCACGCCTCCGGCCACGCCCAGAGGCGGGGTGACGTTGGGAGAGGCGGGGCGTGAGAGCGCGGGGCGGGGCCAGCTAAGGGGCGGGGCCAGCCAAGGGGCGGGGCGGCGCTGGGAGAGGCGGGGCGTGAGAGCGCAGGGCGGGGCCAGCCAGGGGCGTGGCGCCGGGAGAGGCGGGGCGTGAGAGCGCGGGGCGGGGCCCGGAAAGGGGGCGGGGCGACGTCGGGAGAAGCGGGGCGGGGCTCGGCTAGGGGGCGGGGCGGCGCCGGGAGAGGCGGGGCGTGAGAGCGCGGGGCGGGGCCCGGAAAGGGGGCGGGGCCTAGCGTCGAGCAGGGTGGGGCTGATTTCAGGCGGGAGGTGGGGCTGAGCGCGGCGCGGGGGCTGGAAGATGCAGCGTTGAGCAACGCCGTGGTGCGGGAGGGGCCTGAGAGGGCAAGTCGGGCAGGAAAGGGGAAAGGAAAGACGGTAAGGGAAGTGCAGGCCCAGGCTGGCACGGCAACGAGAGGCGGGGCGAGGACGGGTAGAAGGGGCGGGCCCGGGAAGGGATGCAGCCGGGCGGAAGGGGCGGGGCGGGTCCGGGCGGAAGGGGCGGGGCGCGGAAGAGACGCGGCCGGGCGGAAGGGGCGGGGCCTGGAGAGGGGGGCGGGACAGGGCGGGCGGGAGGCGACGGGCGCCGGGGCCTGCGGGCTGCGGGCCCTCGGGGGACTCGGGCGGGTCCTCGCCCAGTGGCGCCCTGTGGAGGGTCCCGCACACTCCCCTGCGGGACTCCAGGCCAGGGTCGCAGGGCGTGTTGGGGCTTGGACCGTGCTGGGGCTTGGACCGGGCCGCGCTTGCCTTATCGCTGCTTTTGGTTAATTCTGCATAGGAAGTTCAGATTTACAAAAAAGCCGGAAAAACTGCAGAACCCTCCCTGCTTCCCCGGTGAGCATTAAGATATGAGGAGCTTGGGGGCTGGGGCAATAGCACAGCGGGTAGGGCTTTTGGCTTGCACGAGACCGACCCCCAGGTTTGATTCCCAGCATCCCATATGGTCCCCTGAGCACCGCCAGGGGTGGTTCCTGAGTGCAGAGCCAGGAATAATTCTTGTGCAACGCCGGGTGTGACCCAAAAAGCAAAAAAAAAAAAAAAAGAGCTTGATGAAAGTGAAATTAGCACTTCCTGCAAAAACAGCCCTGCACAGCCCCGCAGCCCTGACCCTCCCTTCCTGCGCTGGGGGTCCTGCCCCTTCCCGCACCACCTGTCCTTAACTCTCTTCCCCTGCACCACCTCCATCCCCCCAAGTGCCCAGGCCCACAGAGCTGACCAGAGCTCCTCAGAGGCCCTGGCGGGTAGAGAGGCACTGGGTGCCAGCTGTGCAGGGCCTGGAGACCCGTGGAGTGGAGGGTCTGCACCCCCTCCGCTGCCGTCCCCCCAAGCCTCCCTCGGGCCTCGGAGCTGCCCCTCCAATGCCTGTCCCCTGTTCCTGGTGGGGACGGCCTCCTCTGAGAAGGCCAGGACTCAGCCAGGCCAGCCCTTGGCCTGCAGCCCGTCCATTCCCCGGTGCTGTGGGGGCCTGGGGTCAGGCCAGAGGCCAGGCCAGGCCACTGCAGGGACCTCCACAGTGGCCGACAGCTGAACTCCTGGCCCAGTGCTCACTGAGCCAGCACCCAGCACCACCCCCTGCTCGGGCCTGTAGCAGCCCTGTCAGCCAGGCAGGGTGCTCAGACAGTTGCTTGGACCTCACACCTCAGGACGTGGGCCACTCTGTCCCTCCCCATGGGCCGTCCACCTGTGCCTCCAGTGGGACACTGGCTGTGGCCTTGCACAGACACCCATGGTGAGTCCCAGCTGCAGTCAGTGAAAGGGCCCACGCCCCTCTCTGCTCCCCAGGGTCTTAGGGACCCTTCTCTGCACCCCGTGGTCTTACGTGTTCTCCACACAGGGAAATGCAAGGCCTCAGCCCCCCTCTAAGTGTGTGCAGGAACGGAAGTTACTCTGGCGCCCCTAGGAGCCAGTTCTGGGAGCAGAAGCCCAGGCAGGCCTGACCTCCCCATGGCCCCAGCGGGTCTGCCCCGCCGCACACAGGAGCTCCTTGTCTGGTGAAACCTGAGGCCAGGCAGTGCCCTGGGGAGTGGGGCCGGGACTGGTCTCGCAGGCCAGACAGGCCTGGATGGGGCAGGAGGCGGCCGGCCCTTTTCCCCTGAAGACCTTCCCTGGAAATCCCTGACAGCGCGGTGACTCTGGCCGGGCTACCCCACCCGCCCTGGGCGCCTCATCGCTCAGTGGGCGTCCTCGGAAAACAGGTGACTTCGGTTTCTCAGCGTGCAACGGCCGAGCCTTTCTTCAGAACCGAAGGTGCTCCGGACCTGGTACAGCACTGGGGCTGCGGGCACCTCTGAGGGCCGGTGGGCTGGGTCCTGGGCAGAGGGTGCCCCGTGCACCCAGCACAGGCTGCGGAGGCAGGTTCGAGACACCAGCACTGCCCACCCCATGAACAAGCCCAGGAGGGACGCACATCCTGTGGCCACACAGCCACACTCATTGCCCAGGACTGGGCCCCGACACCACCCAGCCCCCACAGACCCCATAGCCCACACCCCGGAGAGCACCCGAGACCCGGCCTCGACACTCTCTTGTCACAGCCACACACTCACACAGACACGCACAGATACACACGGATACACTCACACACATAGACGCACTCTCACAGACACATACAGATTCACACAGACACACATGAATACACTCACACATATAGACACACAGAGACACTGATACACTCACAGTCACACTAATACACTTGCACACACATAGACACACACACTGATACACTCACACACAGACACACTGATACACTCCTCACACACATAGACATGCTCTCAGATTCACAGATACACTCACACAGACACACAGACATGCACAGTACACTCACACACATAGACACACTCTCACAGACACACACTGATATACTCTCATGCACATACACACACATAGACACACAGATACACTCTCACATAGATACACACACAGACTCTCACACATATGCACTTTCAACAGACATACTGACACACACATAGACACACAGATACACTCTCACACTCCACAGACACATTCACACACAGATACACCTTCACACAGACACATACTCAGACACTTGCAGAGACACTTCACAGATATTCGCATGGACATTCTCTCACACAGACACACACAGATACACTTTCACACACACTCCACAGACACTCACTTGCATAGACACACACAGAGACACACTCACACAGACATTCACAGATAAACTTTCTTTTTTTTTCTTTCTTTTTTTGCTTTTTCGGTCATTCCCAGTGGTGCTCAGGGGTTTCACTCAGGAATCACTCCTGGTGGTGCTTGGGGCCATATGGGATGCTGAGGATTGAACCCGGGTCAGCTGCGTGCAAGGCAAATGCCCTCCCCACTGTCGCTGCTCCCCCACAGATCCACTTATGTACAGACACACTCCACAGAACACACTTGCATAGACTCAGGTACACTCACACAGATACACTGTCACTCCACAGACACACATAGATACACTCACACAAATACACACTCATGGACACAGACATACACACACGGACACAGACACACTCACACAGACACACAGAGACACGCTCACACTCTGACTCTCCTGTCCACGTGGCGGTGGCCGGCTGAGGCCAGTGGGAGGCAGGGTCTGTTCCTCCGTGCAGGCCCAGGCAGGGGCTGCTGAGAGGTGGGCGTTCCCCACCCTCACCCCGCTCTCCTCAGCTGGCCTCCATGGCTTGGAGGGCTTGGGGGTGAGGTACCCACTGAGCTGCCTGTCCCCCAGCATGGCACTGACCCCAGGGCCAGGGCGGGAAGTGTGGGAAGGTCTGTCCTGCAGCTGGGGGCCAGTCTGGAATGTGAGTGAGAGGCGGGCTTGCAGCGCCTCGCGGGACCCTCTGCCCTTTGCAAAGCAGCCGGAACACAGCTTGAACTGGGCCAGAGATGCCCACCTGCCCCTGCGCTGGCCACCCGGAGAGGGGCCGCTGCAGTACCTCCCTTGGCCAGCAGGTAGCGCCAGCAGGCAGAGCCACCCAACCACTGAGTAAGAGACACCAGACACACACACACACGCACACACGCACACAGGCACACAGGCACGCAGAGCATACACAAACACAGATGTGCACATAAACAGATGCACAGAGATAGACACAGACATGTGCACACACACTCGCACGCACAGCGTACACACAGACATGCACATAAACACAGATGCAAACACATGCACATAAACACAGACATGCACATACACGCACGCACAGCATACACAAACAGATGTGCACATAAACAGATGCACAGACATGTACACACACATGCATGCACAGCATACACACAGACATGCACATAAACAAATGCACACACATGCACATAGATACAGACACGTGCACACATGTACGCACAGCATACACAAACACAGACATGCACATAAACACACAGATGTACACACATGGACACACAGATGCACGCATACATGCACAGCATACACAAACACAGATGTGCACATACACAGATGCACACACATGCACACAGACAGACGTGCACACACACGCACGCACGCACAGCATACAGACATGCACATAAACACAGATGCACACATATGCACATAGACACACACATGCACACACGCACAGCATACACAAACAGATGTGCACATAAACACATGCACACAGATACACGCAGACACACGCAGACACACACAGATGCATATAGACACACACACACACACAGCCCAGGGGAGCCCAGTACTTCCCGAGAGAGGCTGGCCCCGGGCTTGGATCTGAGCCCTCCCAGGCGCCTAGCTCGGCCGGGCAGTTGGGAGCCGGAGTCCAGAGCGGGCCTGAACTGTCCCCGGCTGGACACCTGGGGACCAAGGTACAGGCAGGCCCTGGCCACCTGTCAGGGAGGAGCACAGTGGGCCGGGAGACCC